AAATGAGTGACTTTAATTTATCCAAGACTTTTTTCGCTTTAATGCTAATTGATTTTAGTTTATTATTCTTTTATTTCTTATTTTTTCGTTTACTTTAATTTCTTTATTACGCTTCTTTTTTTTATTTGTACTTTTATTCACATTTTTTTTTTCTGTACAATAAATCACTTATAATCTTTTGTTTGTGAGATAACATTGCTCAAACTGCTTTCCTAGGCTGATACAACGATAAACGTCGTGTAGACTTGTTCGATGTCAAATATTTAGTCTAATATATTTTATTGATAATTTTAGACAAACTTTCTTTTTATATATTTAAAAGAATAACTTTCAATGTGAATTCAAATTTTAAAATATAACCAATTAAACAACCCTTTATCTGATATGTAATATTATTAACTACATGACAAAAGTTTTTTATTTACAAACTCACGAAGAATAAACGTAAATAAATTTTAAGTTTAAATTAAAACTGTATTACAGTATAAATTTTTTACGTACTGTATTAAATATTTTTAAGCTATTTTAAACCGCACTACACAAATGCAATTTAAACTACATTTATTGTTATGAAAGTACCATTGTATATATTTTACACATCTTCTCTGCTATTTGTCACAACAAAAAGGCAGACATGGTATAACGAGTTTCAATTAATATTATATGGGAGTGCTACTTTGCGCAAGAATACCAGGCGACAAAAGTTGAATAAAACTTATTTTGATAATGCATACTGTTCTAATTGTTCACTTTGTTATAGATTTTGTGATAAATACATTTATCTGATAAAATTTCCGTTAATGATTTAGGTTATAAATTTAATAATTTATTTTTTTTATTATGACAACGCAACACCTGGGCAATCTGCCGAAGTGGGAATGCCTCAAGGGAGGTCTTTTAAAGAAAAGGGGCACTATTTATATGTAAACGCGAGTAGGAACACGTCTAATAATACTAAGTGGTGTCAGGAACCTGACTTAACAGATCTTCCCTGTCACCCATCAATTTAGACAATAACCCCTGATAGTGAGCGGCATCCATAGCTTGGTATCATATTTTAATCCATCCTGCACAAGGTGAGCTGAAACTTACGACTTCCGATTTCATTAATGTTGATTAAATAAACTGAATGGATGTATATTAAAATTGGTATCGTCCACTTATCCCGTAAGTAAGTCTTGATTTTAACAAAAGTGACTTTAAAATCGATTAAAAAATATTAATGTTTTTTTTCAGAATGACGCTGCATCACTGACAACAAGGTTAAAAAATGGCATGAACAATAAAGGCTTTGGAATTTTGATTTTAATTTTCGTCTTTGTATGATGATAATCTTCACCGGAATGGACACATTTCATATTTAGTTTATTATCGTAGTTTTATCCATGCATGCATATTTTTAATATTTAAGCTTAATGGTTCTGAATCTTGCAGTAAGCATATTAATTTACTCAAGGCAGCTCCAGTACTAAATTTCACATACTCGAAGCATATTTAAGCAAAAACTTGCCAAAATATTTTTTGGATAAGTATTCAGAACCGTACTAGAATAACCAAACTTTCGATTGATTTGTTGATGTCCGAGTACAGTCTAAAATTACACTACAGTATTTACAATTATGCTAATCACTTATTACAACGCATCGTCATACATCCGCATTGATTCAAGTAAACCTGCTTTGAGATCGTACCGAATATTTAAACAAATTAAGATAATAGGAAAACTCATAAAACACTCTATCTCGTATTGTTTTAGAGGCTTACCTACGTTGTTGTTGGGTATCCGCAACTCTAAATAAGGATCTTCACGATAAAATTTTTTAAATTTAAATTTAGTGCAGTGTCATTTTAGTTAATTAGTTACAGTAATTATATATGTTAATATAGTGAAATTTCTTATAAATTTATGTTTTAATAACTGTTTTATTATTTGAATTAACAGACCGTTAAATACGAATTATTCTTATAGATGTGAACATTTTTTTTACGTTTTGTATGTTGTATCCTTGTGGTTACTAAGAGGACATTTTCAATCACACGTAGAATGGGTTGGGTCAGACCAGAAAGTAAATTTGGAAATATTTTACATGAATTCTTTCTCATTTTAATTTAATATATCTGTCATATGTTTCACTCTAAAATGCCGTGTAAAGATAATTTCATGTCATCGAAATACTTTAATAACAGCTTGAATATTCTACTTTAAAATTTATTCCTTGTCACTGTCTATTAATATATAACGCATTTATACATGTATTTTATAATATCAAATAAATTAATCTAAACTTCTGCACAACTTACGCTTTAAAAACAGCTTGAATATTCTACAGTACTTTAAAAATAATGATAATTGTAGAAGAAATACAGTAGACCCCCCTATAACACTGTAGATAATTCCGTGTTGTATGAATTCCATGTCGTACGAGTCACTTACATTTTATAAGTACGTGAACCGTTCACAGCTTGGCACACGTGTTTGTAAAATCTAAGTGACTCGTACGACATGGAATTCATATAACACGAATTATCTAGTGTTATAGGGGTTCTACTGTATAAGTTCAATTTCCTGCAATTTATATAATAGACAAAATACGATGCTTGAAAATGTATAAAACTGTATTGAGGATGCATGAAAATTTTTAATAAACAAAACGAATTTTGTCAAAATATTCATGGAAATAGGAAATGAATACATTATTGTTTATATTCTATTAATAACGTTTCGTGACGACATTCAGATTTGGAATAACATCACAATAATAATATATTGCCTTACAAAAATACACAGCTTCATACAGCTCCTTTCCATTGAAAGTTGCGATTCTTTTCAATTTGAAAAATCATTTTCAACTGTGTTGGGATATGAAAATGTTTAGTTCAAAGCAATACATGTTTTTCTAGTCGTAGCAACACTCTTTTCTTTTAAAAACGTCGGGTGCTCGTTTAACATATAGAACACCGTTGAAACACCATTGAAAGCAGAAATCTATATTATTGTTCTAAATATTTGGCAGGGTATCAAATGTTATTCGAAAATGTACGGCTGCAATCTAAATGCACGTTCGTCTGTGCAGACATCAGTACGTCCAACATTGGTGTGACTATTAGTACTAGCAGGGCCATTTTTCATCAAAAAGAACGTTACTTCTGCTGCATATGTTGAATTCTTGAAAAAGAAGTTTCATCTGTGAAGCATAAACATAATCGCGCGTGGTTTATGCAAGACGGCTCAAGGCCCCATTGCTCAAAGCAAATGTACAAAAGCTTTTATGGTATGTTTTAAAAGCGAATAATCCAATTAGATAATGAAAAATATAATGGTGGGGGAGTGGAGTGACTGCCTCATAGACCCGACTTAAACGCATGTGATTTCTTTTTATTCGGCTACCTTAAAGACAGAGCACACCACAATGCTCCTACTACTATTGAAGTGTTGATAGATACAATAAAAACAGAAATAATGGTGATTTTTTAAACATTTGATAACAGTAATAAAGGTAACCGTTATTAAATGTTTCAAATCGGTTAAAAACTATTATTGCGAGTCATTTCGAAAACGTAATTCATTAAATGACAATAAATTCTGTACACTATGCTTTTTGAATTTTATTTTTGTCTCATATAGTTAAAAATAATTTAAAATAAAAATTTTGCGTGAATTACAAACCACCTTGTACACATAGTTGCTATGTATACATAGCACATAGTACACGAACAGTATTTACACATAGTTGCTAAATATACATAGCACATAGTACACGAACAGTATTTACACATATTTGCTATGTACACATAGCAACTATGTGCAAATACTGTTCGTGGTAACTTTCGCTTACAAAACAATGTTAATATACAGAATTGACTTACATCCTGAATCCCTCAGTGCTCTTAGAAAGGAAAGAGGTTCACGGGCCTCTCAGAACTGTTTCCACATAAAAACAAAAAAGACGCGTACATATGTGAACTCGCGGATTTTTACGGGCGTCTTAAAAATCTAAATTTTCTGTTAATTGTAAATATCCTCGGAAAAAACCCGAAGAATTCGAACTCCATCGGATTTCACCGATTGTGTAACAACTAGCTGGGAAAGTTTACACTTAGGTGTGAAGAATGCACAGTCATCGTCAACAAAAGTAAATCACGTGTCCGCTTTCTCACGACAAGGCTATAAAAGGGCATTACAACGGAAGTTCAGGCCGATTCGTCATAGGACGTTTTACTTGGTGATAGTGCCACTTCGATTTCCGAACCTCCATACAGCAGACCCGATCCAGCTACAGGGAGAAGACAATACCGAGGACTCCTACCTCTTCCATATAGACGATTACGCCAACTCTTTATTACGCCGAGAGGTATTTAGGGGATTTAGAATTTGTAAAAGCGCTCTCTCTCAAACTAGAAATTAGGTCAGCGACATAGTTACGAAATTCTCCGCCAGTTTCTGTAAATATTTTAATATAACCGCATTTAACCTTAGTATTTCTGTAACTTAGATTTAGTTATTCAATAAATGCTTTGTTATTTTGTTAACCTGTCACCTGTCATTTAAGGACACCTGCCGACTTACCTACGAACTCACCACTCGATTTGCCCTCCTAGCCATCCAACGACCCCGAGATCGTGCCTTACCGCCCCGTGCAGAGTAAGTGGTAATTTGGGAATTTACCCGTGGCCCACTGCTAATCTCACAAATATTTTATTTCTTTTATTGCTAATAGCCGTCGTAGGAAAAAGAAAAATTTTATCCTAGCTTACGGTTAACACTAGCATCAATTATAAGAACTTTTTCTAATTACGTGCTGCAAACGAGTAATAATTTTGTGTAAAGAAGCACAAAGGTCATTCGACTAAACTGCATGCGCGTTAAGTAAAACAATAGACTCGCGCATTTCACTCCTACAGGTATAGAAAACGGTTAAGCAAGGAGGCGTTTTCAGAGAGAGAAAGAGTTTATCGGCGATTATCGCGAGAAAAGGTCAACAACGCGATAAAATCGGCGAGATATCCACCGAGTAAAGACCTATCGCGACATGTCTCTTCTGAAGACTTTATTTGGACGCTTTTTCTTCGTATCCGATTCAGGTAAGATCTCTTTTCTATTTCCCATTATATGTTTCTACCGAAATTGATCTCACCTTTCTTTTACTCATTCTCACGTTTTTATACACCCCCGATTCCCCAGACAACACGCTTCTGTTAGTCCTTTGTGCTTTTCTGGATGAATCTGGCCAGTAAATACGTTTATTAGTGTTCACGTATTATTAATAATATTTGATGCAACGTAAGTTCTGATTTTATCGTTAATGAAATAATCTTAGTTTATTCTATATTCTATTTTTTTAATCGAAAATAACGAAGTTTATCTTCGCATTTATCTTCGCAATTCGTCATTGTTCTTTACACTTAATACGTTATCCGATAATACTTTCATTGTGTATTTCCCAAACAAACAAATTGTATTTTTTGTACGTTGACCCTTAGTTACAAATTCTTTGTTATATAACAGTCGTTCTTGTGTTTGATTTTAGTATTTGAATAGAGGAAAGAGACTATTTATTTTGACTTTGAAAAATGTGTCCTGCAAATACAAACACGTGTATTTTTTGACCACACAACGAGTTTTACAGAATGTCGAGTTTCCAAGACTTTACTAATAATATGTAAAAGTCAGAGAGATCTTCGGAATGAAAACATGTCCTATTTTTGAATAACATTCAAAAGACTTTTTCTTTATATTGGGGTTGAAATGTGTTTTAATTGGGTCTTAACCGCTTAGCCATTCGTTAAAATTACTGATAATATATATGAAAAAAGCGTTAAATCAAGAAAAACGCTGTAAATTCGATCGTCGCTAGCATCTGAAAGAGCGTTGTGTATTGAGGGAAAGTGAGCCTATCTCACTGATAACGTAGCTTCCGAGCATTTCCTATAAGCGGGATCTTCGTAATAACTGTTATAATAAAAAAATATACAAAAAGATGCAATCTGTTACGAACAAAAGAGTTAAGGTTTTTTACATTTTTATAATCAACCGCGTATAAGTCAGCCATGTGTTTTTTTGTGAAGTCCAAGTGCAAAAATCTCTTTATTTCAATAAAAAATAATAATGAGAAATTGGTCTAATGCGTAACGATTATTATTTAATCCCGACAGAACCACTGACAATCAAGAAGGTATTTTTGATTTTGTTTTTAAAACTTTACGAGTTTATCTTCAAACCCAGACTTCACTTTCACGACTTCGATGATGACGACGATTTAGTCAAAGCGGGCACATTCCCCAGCCCTGTGGAATGGAAACTAGAATGTCCTCGAAACTGTGACCTGTACAGAGTAAGTACTTAGTTTAAATTAATATTTATTAGGAATTAATAAGGAATCTTTTGAGATTCGTAATTCTGGGGTTAAGGCAGAGATATGCAAAATTTGTTCTAATCGTCTAAAGGGTTTGACAATATGTAGGGGATAAAATAATGGAAAAGAGAGAGGGTTCCAGTATTAGAGTAAAGTATGTTTTTGAAAAATTGTAAAGAGTAGCTATGCAAAATTTGTTCAGATAGCACGAAAGGTTAGGGATTAGAGGATGAAACCAGAGAGAGTGAGTGGTCCGAGTTTTATGGTAGCCATGTTTCCTGTAATGTACCAACCAGTAACTAAGCAGAAATTTGTCCAGATCGGAAGAAGGATTTGGGAGTTTGTAGGGAAGATGAAATCAGCAAGAAAGAGTGAGGGAGTTCGAGTTTTAATTAAGGAAGCTTACGTACTGTATATCGGACAGTAATAAGCTTTCCAATGATCCATTGATACAGATATATTTCGTGACAGTTTCGACTATCTTTTAGGCATTTTATCGTCAATAAGGCTCACACGCATATGTGTACACCTGAAAAACAACCGAAAGAACTGGATTTATATAGGTAGATATCTGATAACATAAGAATAATTGTTATTTTTAAATCCTGTTGTGTAGGATTAATCCTAAAACAAAACACATAAAAATGCAATAGGTCTGTGTACGAAAGTTTAGTTTTATGGAAGGGAAATAAATTCACAAAAATAAAAGAAAAATGATTTTTTTAGTAATGGTACGATAGAAATAATCTTAAAACAATGGTAATTACTTGTACAGTAAACTGTCCCCTATTTAAATGTGTGGGATCCCGGGCAATAGTTTGTTGAATTAAAGTATTAATTCAATAAACTGCTTAAATAAACAGCGCAAAAAATGGGAAAAATCAACGAAGAAGTACTCAGATTCTGTCTATGATAACATTTTCTTTCTAAATGACTCCTCTTCCAGGGAAGAGGAGAGTATACGATTTTCTTTGGGAAGTAGGGATTAAAATACGAGATTTGATGAGGTTGTCCTTACGATATTGCTTCTTTGGTAACATCTTGACTCGGAAAGAGAACAGAACGGAACACATAAAAAGACCAGCAAAGATTGAAAAGGTCGTTCAGTTCAGGAGTCATCTTTCTGTCTAGTTTAGTTAATCCCAGTTTCAATTCAGTCCATCCCCACCAATTCAACCGCCGTCCGGATTAAAAACAAATGAACTTCGATCAGTTATGACCATTAACATTACGAATTATTACCAAGATTCGTCAATACAAGTAATTAGACTCTCCTCCGCCTCTTGAGGCTCGGGGATCCAGGTATTTATATTGACACGCAAAAGTTGTGTTAGAGTTATCTCTCGCTCTCGAGGAAGTTGGGCGCGGATAGCAAACACACTGTAGATAATAGAGATAGTAAATAGAGTAAACTTACTCTATATGCTAATTCCATAATATAATATATACAGTATATCTTGCATGTAAAATTTCCCTTTGTTATTAAATGTTTATTGCTTATCATACTTCGTTGGTTGAGAGCATCACTTTCGGACATTCCTATCTATCTTATTTTCTCTCCTTCATTTCTTACTCGATTCGATGGATCCTGTGAGCCAAAAATTCACAGATGATCTCTGAACTGACCCAAGAGTGCGCTGTCGTCCAGTCGCAGGTGTAAGACAAAGGAAGAAAATGGAATACACTATGTGATAAGTGAGTTAGTCAGAGCCACCTCGCAACAACTGTACAAATTCGTGTTTGTATCCACTCGGGCATTTGTGAAACTGTTAAAATTAAATGTAATGAAAGTTAATAAGGGTAATTATCAGTCATAGCAGATTTTATATCTCTTACATTGGATTTTGAAACTAGTATAATATAAGAGAATCTTTTAGGAAGAGGACGAAGTGATGATATACGGGGTTAATTCGAAGAAGGAATGTTTGCTGGTGAGAGTGGCCAGGATCGACGATAGGATGGCCGAAGCGTGGCTATATCTTAGACTTACCAACGGCAAAGTTTACGTTTTGCAAGAAACGGGTAGAACGACGGACGATCGTTACTTCCAAGCGGCCGGTTTGCGACTGCAATGTCTATCGCCTCTCAGAATATGGAGGATATTTTTCAACGGTCTTCTCAGGTAACTATTTTTTATAGAATGTTTATAGTTTTTAACAATATTTCGAATTAAACTGCGTACAAAATTTTAAGAGAATTTTTTATGGGGAACATCAATTCGGGCCAATTAAGCAAGTAAATGAATGAATGTCTTTATGAAAGGAATTCCCCTTTAAACAATCTAATGAAGATATTCCAACGATATACCGTCAAAGTTTAATTTAACGTTGTCGAATGTTTCTTTGAAAGTTTTTCTCAGTTGAGTGTGAAGCTAAATTGAATAATCTTAAATAACAAGCATGAAGAAGGCCTTCTCAGTATTTGTAATAAAGTCGTTTAACATAGCTATTATAACTTTTATTATTAATTCGATAATATTTTACACATTGATAAATATTAACTGTATCATTTTATTTAGGGAAAACGATGGCAGAGTAATTCACGTCAAATTCAGTTTTGTGTAAGTATATAGTTGCATTCGACATAATTTATTTCATAAAAACAGGTGTTGCGCGGCGAATTCGTATCGTAACTTAAAATATAGTTCTAAAGTATTGTTCAGACGAACTCATTTAATAGTTAAAAAGTATATTATCCTTATTAATTAAGAAAGAAGTGATCTAATAAACTTTTTCGATAGGTGGACAGTTCTATCGGACGTGTACGATTTCACTAGCGACGTAGATAAAGATGCCATGGCAAACGCCTTAGATCACGCTTCATTCTTTTCACTCTTCGGCAACGTTTCCAGGTAAATATAGATTATTTATTTTTACATTTTACTGTTATTCGTTATTTATATTAGAGTGGTTGCGGCCGAAGTTTTCATCTGTAAAACGTAAACGTCAAACGTCGAGCGCCGCTTACAAGATAGCGGTGGTTCGACGTTCACGTTTTAAAGATGAAAACTTCGACCGCAACCTCGCTATTAATTATTTTTATTATAGTTATTTTTGCTTTATATTCAAATATTTAAAAGCTGTTATTAATTTATTGTATTCTATTTTGAAACGATACTTAACGGTAAAATATGTTCCAAGAAAAATTGTAGCCTGAGGATCGCTTATTGGACTAGGATGAAAACGTTTGCTAAATAAAAGCAAATTCTAACAGTCAAAAAATGTCTTCAGAGATTTATTTTCAATTCTTCTGCTAAAGTTCATTTAGATCAGTGTTTTTCAACCTGGGGGTTGCGACCCACAAAGTCTTACATGGGGGTCGCGGGTAAAAGAAAAAAACAAGTGTTTGTAGGTCCTACACTACAATAAAAAAAACTACAATTTCAGTGAGAAGGCTGTACCTGTTTATTTTACAGTATAATTGGTTTTCCAATCGATATTTAGGTCTCAACAGAAAGAAAATTAAATACGTAGTTTTTAGAATCACTGATATAGTTTTAATATGGCCCTGGGGGGTCGCCAGAATTTTTTAACTTGTAAAGGGGTCGCGTATTCAAGAAGGTTGAAAAACACTGTTCTAGAGAAGTGCTTAAAAAAGTACATTTATGAAATGCTAGAGGAAAATAATTATGTGGCTCATGATCCAAATAAAGCGGTAAAAGAGTTGCAAGACTTAACTTTAATGAATGATGAAATAGGGACAGTGATGGATTTTGAAAGTCTATACCCATCCATGAATCTGTTATCTTGTTTCAATGCATTTGTTGAATTTATGGTCCAACACAATCCAATGTTATTGACGTACTCAGAGGAGTTAAATAATCTAGCAGNCTCTCTCTCTCTCTCTCTCTCTCTCTCTCTCTCTCTCTCTCGAGGAAGTTGGGCGCGAATAGCAAACAAACTGTAGATAATAGAGATAGTAAATAGAGTAAACTTACTCTATATGCTAATTCCATAATATAATATATATATTATATCTTGAGTGTAATATTTTCCCTTTGTTATTAAATTAATTAAATGTTTATTGCTTATCGTACTTTGTTGGTTGAGAGCATCACTTTCGGACATCCCTACCTCTCTTATTTTCTCTCCTTCATTCCTTACTTTGTAAAAGTCCTACGTACGCTGCCGCTTACTCGATTCGATGGATCTTGTGAGCCAAAAATTCACAGATGATCTCTGAACTGACCCAAGAGTGCGCTGTCGTCCAGTCACAGGTGTAAGACAAAGGAAGAAAATGGAATACACTATGTGATAAGTGAGTTAGTCAGAGCCACCTCGCAACAACTGTACAAATTCTTGATTGTATCCACTCGGGCATTTGTGAAACTGTTAAAATTAAATGTAATGAAAGTTAATAAGGGTAATTATCAGTCATAGCAGATTTTATATCTCTTACATTGGATTTTGAAACTAGTATAATATAAGAGAATCTTTTAGGAAGAGGACGAAGTGATGATATACGGGGTTAATTCGAAGAAGGAATGTTTGCTGGTGAGAGTGGCCAGGATCGACGATAGGATGGCCGAAGCGTGGCTATATCTTAGACTTACCAACGGCAAAGTTTACGTTCTGCAAGAAACGGGTAGAACGACGGACGACCGTTACTTCCAAGCGGCCGGTTTACGACTGCAATGTCTATCGCCTCTCAGAATATGGAGGATATTTTTCAACGGTCTTCTCAGGTAACTATTTTTTAAATAAAATGTTTAAAGTTTTTAACAATATTTCGAATTAAACTGCGTACAAAATTTTAAGAGAAGTTTTGATGGGGATCATCACTACGGGTCAAATAGGCAAGTAAATAAATTAATATCTTTATGAAGGGAATTCCCATTTAAACAATCTAACGAAGATATTCCAACGATATACTGTCAAACTTTAATTTAACGTTGTCGAATGTTCCTCTGAAACTTTTTCTCACTTGAGTGTAATGCTAAATTGAAAAATCTTAAATAACAAGCATGAAGAAAGCCTTCTCAGTATTTGTAATAAAGTCGTTTAACATAGCTATTATAACTTTTATTATTATTTCGATAATATTTTACACATTGATAAATATTAACTGTATTATTTTATTTAGGGAAAACGATGGCAGAGTGATTCACGTCAAATTCAGTTTTGTGTAAGTATATAGCTGCATTCGACATAATTATTTCATAAAAACAGGTGTTGCGCGGTGAATTTGTATCGTAACTTAAAATATAGTTATAAAGTATTGTTTAGACAAACTCATTTAATAGTTAAAAAGGATATTATCCTTATTAAGAAAGAAATGATCTAATAAACTTTTTCGATAGGTGGTCAGTTCTATCAGACGTGTACGATTTCACTAGCGACATAGATAAAGATGCCATGGCAAACGCCTTAGATCACGCTTCATTCTTTTCACTCTTCGGCAACGTTTCCAGGTAAATATAGATTATTTATTTTTACATTTTACTGTTATTCGTTATTTATATTAGAGTGGTTGCGGCCGAAGTTTTCATCTGTAAAACGTAAACGTCAAACGTCGACGTTCACGTTTTAAAGATGAAAACTTCGACCGCAACCTCGCTATTAATTTTTGTTATTTTTGCTTTATATTCAAATATTTAAAAGCTGTTATTAATTTATTGTATTCTATTTTAAAACGATACTTAACGGTAAAATATGTTCCAAGAAAAATTGTAGCCTGAGGTCGCTTATTGGACTAGGTTGAAAACGTTTGCTAAATAACAGCAAATTCTAACAGCCAAAAAATCTTCACAGATCTATTTTCAATTGTTCTGCTAAGGTTCATTTAGATTATTGATTCACTTACATAATTTATGAACCGCTTTTGTAGTTGTTTCAATTACACCTCCGATCATAACGTTTTATGAGATTGAGGAACTTTTTACCATTTTCATATCTAATTTCTTATGNTCCCAGAAAATGAACGTAAAAGTGTTGAGCTGACTTGTAAAAAGAAGTAATAAGTAGAAAAGTAGAAGTGAAAAACTCTCATAAAAAAACTAAATAAATAAAAAAAATAATAAAAGGTCAACAGCACTCCGAACCTATTGTTATTATAAGAAGAAAGTAACATACTATACGTGTCTTAAGTTATTGTCGATTCTTCTTAAATTCTCATTTTAGTCAACAATAATTTCTCTCAACAGAAAGAAAATTAAATACATAAATTTTTAAATCACTGATATAGTTTCAATATGGCCTAGGGGAGTCGCCAGAATTTTTTAACTTGTAAAGGGGTCGCGTATTCAAAAAGGTTGAAAAACACTGATTTAGATTATCGATTCACTTAACTAATTTTTGAACCGCTTTTGCAGTTGTTTTAATTACACCTCCGATAATAATGTTTTATGAGGCTGAGGAACTTTCTACCATTTTCATATCTAATTTCTTATGCTTAGAGCACGAGAATTAATGGACGTCTACACTCAACACGGGCAAATGAGAGGAACGATTAAGTTAGAAGGATCAGATAAAGAGAAGGAGTTGCATTTATGGGGAACCAAAATGAGAAATCTTCGTATGTATTATTCCATTATTCATTCAATCTTCGTTCCTGACTTTGTTTATTATTTCACAAAGATACTAGAATATTTATTATTAACGGAAAGTTGAGACTTCAGTAGAAACTATATAACCATTCAGTAAAACATAAGATATTGGAAATAAATAATATCTGTATTTAGTGAGGCAGTAAAGAGATTAGAACTTTCAGGATGACCCTTAAATTTCAAGCTTCACTATTGGATAAACACTATATTAAAGCGTACTTCTAAGAACATTTCTTAACTTTATCGTCTTATTTACTTATAAATTTCAATATTTTACCTAATTAAAGTACTAAAATATGGCAATATTTATTTCGTTTAATAATTATATATGTTTACTTTTTTTTCAATTTAGGAAAGATCTCGTCAGAAAAACAATTTTGCCACGTTTTCGCTTACTTGCAGGTAAGTATTAATTAAAAACATTAAATTATTTATTAATAATAGAGAAATATTTTTGAAATAGATAAGAATTAGATGTATTGTATACCTTAATTAAACATAATGAATAATTGGATTGGATTGAAGGGTTAACAAACAAAATAATATGGTATAAATCACCCTAATAAATAAACCTTCCTTCCTGCAAAATTTCAGAAATTGTCGACACAAAACACAAGATTTATTAAGCTTCAAAAAAGGTGAAAAAATCGTGCCCCACACACACATACACTAACATCAATAAATATAGATATTCCACCCCCGAATTTATGTCATTACATAAATTTTATTTGTATGTTAATATAATAATATACAACCTGTATTTCTATGTAGCATGGGATTTTACTACACATAGGAATTGAGAGTGTTGATAATGTTATAAAAAGGTAATTTAATATTTAAACGTAATAATATCTCTATGTATTATAAAATGATAAATTATTTAAAGTCTTACATTTTAGGCTTCATCACGGTCATATAATGAATTCTAACGGTAGATTACATTCGATCAAATGTAAAATTCTACCCGATAGTGAAAATATGAATGAAATACAGAATAAAGTTTTAGAATTTTCCTTGGGTAAGTTGTGAGAAATTTTAGTTTGTTTTATATTTTTTATTTAACTTTTATTCATTCCATAGAATTATCTATACAAACGGTCTTTAGTTTGCTGTATAGAATCACTCTAACATATGATTTATAATCCACTTAACAATTTTAATGAGAGCTTTCAAATTTCTATAACTAATGAGATGTAGTGAACAGTAAACTTAGTAGATGTAATATGAAAAATTTTCTGCCCTGTAAATGTATATATGTAATTATAATTATATGTTCTTACGTTAGAGGATGAAACATATAATTTGAAATTTACTTCCGAGATATATTCCACGTTATTTATGAAATCGAAATGGCCCAATGGCATCGAATTGAAACACGTAACTATGTCCAAAAATGGAAAGAAGGGTCACGGAATTGTGTTAAAAGGGTAAAGTATAAAATATGTTTTAATTCTTACGGTATAATATTGGAATATTAATGAATGTATATTTACAGAAAAATTTTGAAAAATAAAAGAAAATATTATCCCGTACAAAAACGTAAGTAAATTTTAATTCTTGATAAATTTATAATTATACTTTTTCCATAAAAAACATAAAGAATCAACTTTTTTACTCTGTATAAGGACTACTGACAAGTTTGGTTAACGAGTTAATTGCCATTGATACTGGATCTGATAGGATCCGTGGTTCTATTCGTGAATTTATATGTAGATCCGGTTTCAAAGGCTTTTGATACCGAATTTGATAAGGCCCATAAATGAATTTATACCGTTTAGGTCTTAACAATCATCCGATCGATAAGCAATATGCTGACGATTTGAAAACGTTTTCGCAAGATAATTTTAAAAATGAAAAGATAATCAAGTATTACACAAGACTAATTTCGAAATATTTTATTTAAAAATGTATATTATAAAACAGAAAAATTTTAATTTGAATATTCAAGAGGCTTTTTTCGGTCTATCTTGAATTCGACCAACATCACAATATGACGGACAAGTAAAGAGAAAACTGGGTCTTTATATTAACGTTTTTGGTTATTTTTTGGTTAAATATTTTTTGTACCTTATTATCTATAATTATAATTTGTTTCATAATGAAATTTGCAATATGAGTGGGAGGTTTAAACCTCTTTACAGTAAATTCTCTGTAGTATCTACTGTGAGAACCGTGGGGGGTATGACTACGCCGTACCTCCGTGGATCGGCTTTCAAGTCGGTGGGACTTGCTCACTTGCCAGAGATGGCTTAAATTTTTTAGATTATCCCGCGGTGACGGGATTTTCTTGTTCGGGTCGAGTGGAGGAGGGAAGAGTGCTGTCGGTAAGGTGACAGGCGATATACGAGTAAAAGAGGACACCAATTTAATAAGGAAACAACGATTTATTGGATATCTACATAGACGGTACCAATAACTATTATCGAGGGGAAATTCTGAGTCCCTAAAACGCGTGGGGCCGAGAGGGAGTTCACAAAAATTTGTTCCATACCTCTTTATGTTGATAGTTCTCTTGAGGAAATTAATAATATACGTAGGACACAATATTCGTAGGATACAAGATTCGTAAAACACAATATATAAAAATAAGACACAGTATCTAAGTGACGGTAGATGAACGACTCCCCCGAGAAGGGGGAAGCAAGTGGCTTTTATAGTTTCGTCGTGGGAGAATGGTCATGTGATCAATTGTTGTGAGGTAAAAGGTACGCGGATATGTCAAAGTTGTCCCCGGGACCATGCTTACTATCAACTTTGGAGTTGGAATGTGGGATTATTTTCGAAATGGACGAATGTTTACTTTGAACGAAAGAGGATATTGAAAATTTTCCTTTTTTTTGTTAGATTTTACTTTATGTTTTAAATGAAAATTTAATTGGGGGTTTATAAAAATGCGGGATATTAATCAAAAAATTCGGTAAAAATTCTGGATTTCACACTACCGACAGCAATTAATTTTTAAAATATGTTTTCTGTAATATATTAACTTTATTTTTTTCTATCTGAATAATGAAACTCTTTATTTTAGGAATAAATCACCGTAGATAATTCGGGAATATTATACTTTCTCATCAATTGTAGTCTGCTGAAATTCTTGACAATATTCTGTATCTGATCTTCTGTGTGTCCCTGAATACTGTTTTTATGTTGTCTACATCTAATTTGTTAATAAGGTGCTCTACAAAAGTATAGAACCGCTGAAAATTTACTATACTAACATTAAAAACCCATAGTTTCCTATATGCAGCAATCAGCAGAAATTGTAAAAAAATCTGATTTTAAGCACCACAAAAGTATAGTAAATGAATGTAAAAAGAATTATATACTAGAAAACAGTTTAATTTAGTAATTTATTTGTACACCTCCTTTACTGGTAACATCGAAAATGCAAATTGGCATGCTACCAACAAGGTTTTTTTTATAATCGATGTCTCAAGAGAGTTCCAAGCAGTGACAATTGCTTTTTTAAGTGTTCAATGTCGGCATACTGATGATTCTAGTCATAAATTTGGTCAACCAAGTTCCCTCAAACGTTTTTTAGCGAAATCGAATTGGGCAGCTTTCTGCTTATATTTTTTAACGTTTGATCATTTGATATATAGAATTGAGAAAGTATTATTATTATTGCTCTGTCCTACTGTGTTTCTACATAAATTATAAAAAGTACAGGAGCTCGTTACTCCTGCTCTTATGGGAGCAGGAGTAATGCGGAATTCCATGTGTTCCGGATTACCGAAAAAAACGAACTGTTACTGTACATTGAATATAAAAATAAAATTGTATTCTTTATTTAATATTTTTAGCAATTAATAAAACAGAAAATCTTTTGGTGGTGCCACTTACATCGTTACATTGTCAAGTATCGGAATTAACTGGTGGTAAAGGTTCCTCTCTCGGAATACTTACAGAAATTGCTGCTGATAACAAAAACGTAAATATGTATAATTTATAATATATATAGGCTAATTAGTTTTCTTATATAAAAATATTTTATAAAATTGTAAATTAAAACAGCTGCCTCTAGTCGTATTTTCGGAAGAATATATTCGGTTAATCAGGAAAATATTGCATAACCATTTTGTTCAATACAGTATACTGAATACACTGAAAAAGAATAACAACGAACATATTTATTTACTAATACGCAAACACGATGGCTGCTGCAAGTTCGTAATCGATTTTCTTAGAAACTTCATTATAGATACTGTACGTTATATGTACTATGTATAGCGTTCATACATACATACATATATATATATAAGATTTAAAGTAGACTATATGAATATACTGTACTATACCCGTAACATTAGTTAAATCCGAAGATACTAGGATAAACATGTGTTTTTAATTTGTAATTTATCATTCACTTTTTCTTCATAAAACAATGCAAAATTAAGTTTGGTTTATATGTTTTTATTAGTTCATAGTGCCCAAAGGTGTTGTCGTGACGACGAAAGCCTACAAAATATTTCAGGATACAAATAGAATGAAAGACATCGTTTCTTCTTTACAGAAAATAACACGGTTTGTATTATTTCAACAATTTTTAGATATAAATTTAAAAGCTTTTGAATGTTTTAAATTGTTTATACAACTTTGTATTGTTAGTTCAATTATAGCCTAATATTTTTAGAGAAATTAAAACACGTACAACTCTCTGTGGAAATAATTATGCACGAATATTTCCCTTATCTACAATAGTTTTTAATTCCATTAAATTAATAACAATTCATTTTTATATTATTTAATTTTAAATGAATACGCGAGTGCAACACTGACATTTTTACAATTTCATAAGGAATTGTCAAAATGTCAGTATTACACTCACATATTCATTTAGTATACATTTAAATGTTGTTTCCTTTCTAGTAATGTATTTAATGATTCCGTTATTCATTCATTCAAGAAGAACCGTAGTACAGTACAAACGAAAAAAAATTATAACGGTTCAAAGATCGTGTTACGAAGATTTGCCAGCTACTTTAAAGTGTGAGAAGATATTCGGTGTTCCGGCATTTATGATCTTAACTCAACCTTAGTCCACCCTGAAGTTTCTCTGCTCACTTCGTTTTTGATGAATTAATAATTAATCAATGTACAGTACGAGCATTTACGTTTTGTAGTAACTTTTGTGTTCCGACCTGTTGCTACTTATAATTCAATTAAAATGATACCTTTACAGCGAAAAAGATAAATAATATATTGTATATATACACCATGTTTTAATTAATTACAAATATGCTACATATACCGTCTCTGATAAAACAACATGTACTGATATTGGGGAAATCAATATTAAAATAACTTCTTTTTTATTACACGTAGGTAAATACAACCTGCACTTAAATACTTTATTATTATTGACACTGCTGTGTCTCCTTTATGCACTTGCTTGCCTTAATACGTCTGTTTAATTTAAACTTTGTCTATGACTATATTTTAAGTTTGTTATTATTGCTGTTATTAAAAGTACAATGTTACTTGTTAATAATATTAAAAAAAAAACATTTTAATAGCTTTATACATTTTTATATTATTTAATTTTAAATGAATACGCGAGTACAACACTGACATTTTTACAATTTCATAAGGAATTGTCAAAATGTCAGTATTACACTCATATATTCATTTAGTATACATTTAAATGTTGTTTCCTTTCTAGTAATGTATTTAATGATTCCGTTATTCATTCATTCAAGAAGAACCGTAGTACAGTACAAACGAAAAAAAATTATAACGGTTCAAAGATCGTGTTACGAAGATTTGCCGGCTACTTTAAAGTGTGAGAAGATATTCGGTGTTCCGGCATTTATGATCTTAACTCAACCTTAGTCCACCCTGAAGTTTCTCTGCTCACTTCGTTTTTGATGAATTAATAATTAATCAATGTACAGTACGAGCATTTACGTTTTGTAGTAACTTTTGTGTTCCGACCTGTTGCTACTTATAATTCAATTAAAATGATACCTTTACAGCGAAAAAGATAAATAATATATTGTATATATACACCATGTTTTAATTAATTACAAATATGCTACATATACCGTCTCTGATAAAACAACATGTACTGATATTGGGGAAATCAATATTAAAATAACTTCTTTTTTATTACACGTAGGTAAATACAACCTGCACTTAAATACTTTATTATTATTGACACTGCTGTGTCTCCTTTATGCACTTGCTTGCCTTAATACGTCTGTTTAATTTAAACTTTGTCTATGACTATATTTTAAGTTTGTTATTATTGCTGTTATTAAAAGTACAATGTTACTTGTTAATAATATTAAAAAAAAAACATAAACAACACTCTATAAATAGTTTTGTATGCATTTTGTAGAGAACAACAAGGTTCATTTCATAGTACATTTATTAAAAATACATCTCTAGTAATTATTTTAAGATGTATATAATATAAATTTTTATTTACAAAACTTTTTATGCAAGATATTGTATTTTACTTATTAAATTTTTGTATTAGGATAACGAAAAGTGATGTAAAAGACGAATGTCAAAGGTAGAAAATTTTATTGTTTTCATACATGATTAATTTGATTTTATTTTATAACATTTTACCTTACATTACTTTTAGAATTATGAAAGAAGTTGCGGAGATCCCACTTTCAAATATAATCTGTGATGAAATTGAAAAAAATTTAAAAGCAATTTACACGAGTGACTTAAATAATGTTAGATTTTCTGTCAGGTCATCGACTTGCGGTAAGAATAAAATTAATACAGTATTTTTAGTATTGTATTATTTCAAACTTCGTAAAAGATGAAACTTCAGAAATATTAACATAGTGTTGATTAAGAAATAAGATGAAAGAAACCTCAAACAGAGAGCCGGATTGCTAATGCAATGAAGGCACTCTTGATGACGACAAAAATTGGATGGATATTTATGAATTTTCGTGTTTTTACTGGAAAATTCGTCAATATATTGTTGTCCTGAATATGCTCCCAGTTTTTATTATTATGCTGCTCCTATTGTAAGACTGTCGAAATTATAAGCACAGGAAAAGTTCCTCTTTGGATCTACAGAAAGAAAGTTTGAATTGAAACAATAAAAGAAAGATTTCACTCGATGGTGAAGCTTTCTTTTTTGTTTCAACGAACGGAGTGATTCCCTCGTGGACTTTCTGTGGAAAAGTACCCCAATTTAGTTTTGATATAAATGAAGAACGTGAGAAAAGCTCCAACTTGCCAGCCCGTTAGTCATGTTAGTCACTCGGGACCAACTCTGTGTTCTCTGCTTTTATTCTCAAGACCTTTGAGACGTTTTCAAGTTTGAAACTGCTAAATACAATTAAAAAGTGACTAATTTACCTTTTCTAAGTTTTGTGATAAAATTAACACTTTTCTAGAAATTTAAAATTATTAAATGCTATATTAATTAATTAATTTATTTATTTATTATTATTTTTTTAATTTTAAGGGGAAGATAGCGAAGATATGTCTGCAGCCGGTCAAATGGAAACTTATCTCGGGATTTCCGGATTGAAAAATGTAAATAATTTCGAATTAATTTTTTATATAGGGGAGTATTGACACTGCTGTTGTCTCCTTTATGCACTTGCTTGCCTTAATACGTCTGTTTAATTTAAACTTTGTCTATGACTATATTTTAAGTTTGTTATTATTGCTGTTATTAAAAGTACAATGTTACTTGTTAATAATATTAAAAAAAAAACATAAACAACACTNTTATTAACTTTAACGCAAAGAAATTCGCTAAAAAGAAAGCAAACCTCCGCGTAACCCCCGTCTATCGTATACCCCGCACTTATGGTGAAACAACTGTTTTGTAAGTGTCAGTTTCGCAATAAAAAATCGGTTTTTAATTTGCTCCATAGTCTGCATCTCGTTCATCTTGTCTTTTAAACACATATAACTCGTGTTTGATAAGCACAAAATATGGTGACTTTTATAGAAATGTAACAGTTATGATTACTTTTATATTCTTTATATATTGTATTTATATACTTGTTTTTTTAATCAGATATTAACTGCAGTTAAGAAGTGTTGGGCATCGCAATTTTCATTTACTGATATTGAATACAAAAGGTAAGAATCTTGATATCAATTATGCTAGCATTGAAATTATCGAAAGATAAAAATCATTATTAGGTAAATTTAAATTCTATTGTTGAGCGAGGAGAATATAATAGTGATTTTCCTTAATTATTTCCTCCCTATCAGCATTAAGATGGTCTCTTTACATGATCATTACGGGTTTGGCAAACAAGGATTACCGGATGATAAGAATTGGAGTGGATATAGCCAAAAATTTTTATGATTCACCGGTTTGTCCACATTGTGTCTGCTTCTTGCTCTTATTACCCGATTATGAGTCTTACATAATAGACAATGAAAAGCACCTACTTTATGCTGCTAGGGAGTAGAGTTTTAAATGTCTTTAAGTTCAAGTAAGGTATAAATCAACTAATGTAATTCGTCCATATTATCGATGACTTTTAATTTTTTCGTTAAGGCAAACCACCAATGACCGTGTGAATAAAACCACCGAACACTGGCAGGTGGTTGCGGTTTGTACTTGAGCAACGGTTTGCACACGTGCAGTTTTTCGAGTTTCCTTTACGTTTCTAACATCTAAATAGCGACCAATTTCCCATAGAAAGTTCTTCTGGAAGAAACTCCCCTTGCTTGAACGCACAAATATTACCTTACCATATTCCATCAATCAAATTTAATCCAAAACAACAGAAAGAGTAACTAGAAGTATAAAAATTCGGTTACAATTTTCAAACATTCTGGACCGATAAATTCCCACTGGTGTACGCGGTCTGACTGTCTTACCTTACTTTCGAGATCAGAGTAAAATAAAATAAAAATCTAGACCGGATTTGAAAATAATGGGTTCAGCAGGTCCCGGTTAACTATGCACAAACTCCGGTTTGGGCCGATAATCACTTTATTTTAATTCATATAATAATTCCTAGAAGGATATAGATAGAGGACCGGCGTGACTACTTTGTTCATAGGAAAAGTATGATGTACTGTACAGTACAGAGGCAAGACACTGCTATAATTGAAAATATCCTAATGAAAATTAACTTAATATAATATTTTAAATAATTATTGCATATTTAGAACGTAAATTTACTGTAAAATACGATTAATTTACAGGCAAAACGGTCAACTGTTAAACCTACCGATGGCAGTTGTTATCCAAGAAATGGTGAATGCGGATGTTGCAGGTGTTATGTTTACTTGTAATCCTGTTACTTCAAATCCAAAACATGTTACAATAACAGCCAATTATGGACTAGGAGAGGTATGGATTTACATTTCTGTTATTTCTCTGTAGTTTTACAACAAGATTAATTTATCCAAATATTTTTGCTTAATTTAATTTAATTTTTTTACCATGGACAGTCAGATCTTTTCTGTACTCATCATTGGTTTCAACATTCCCACGTTAGGGTGGTATTCTTTACCGAATTACAGAAATGTAGTGCGTATCTTCATTTTGAAATTTACCGCATGCTTAATACGTAAAACATAAATACTACTTCACACTTTTATATGCAAGGTGAATTACAGAATTTCTAATAAAGTAAACAGGTAAAAGGAAAGCCTGCTGCTCGAAAGAGTGGCAATTGAGTCAGAACCTAGAAACTTTCATGTATCAGTTGACTCAGACTTTGTTCCTCTTCTCCTCACCATCTCATTCAATTATTGGCTTAGCCAAACCCTTAATTTACATAAAGAATCACTATCTTAATGCCTAAACGACAAAACTAAATATAAAATTTTAATAAATAATTCTTTTTAAATTTCGTAAATTGTAAAAGTAATTACAAATCTTTTCAGTCTGTAGTGGCTGCCAAAGCCGAACCCGATACCATTTATTTAGAAAGAGATATCAATCAGAAATTAACTCTTAATAATATAACTATTGGTAAAAAGGATACAAGGGTTGTTGTTAGCGGTGAGTTCTCATTTTGCTACTTAAAAAATTACATGACTGAAATATATTTAGGGCTAAATACTTTTTTTTTCAGAAACGGGTGACGTTGTCGAAGAAAAAAATATTGAATTTGAAGACAAATGTTGTTTGACTGACGAACAAGTGCTTTATTTAGGAAATGTCGGAATAATGGTTTGAAATTATTATTTACAAAATTTTTAAAAATTACCGTATTTTTGCGGAATGACAGTATTCGCGGCATATAAACGGGAGAGTCAGGCATGCCAGTTAAACTGTGACTAAAATATAAAATTAATCAGACCTAACAAAATATTTTCCCAAGTACAATAAAATAACATTTTAATTTGACTGATTAAATCAGGAACAGTTTTCATTTACAAGACAATAAAACAATTAACGACTCGTTGACATTAGTAGTAGTTGTTAGTCATGTGTGGGATACACTGACAATCTATCTTGACCTTCAAAATAACACCTTACTCTGAAATTTCACACAAAGCCCTTGTTAATCAGTGCAAGCAGAGATAAGTTACAGAGAGTTTCTTAAATTTAATATGCTTATTTTTGCGTTTTTGAATCAAATTATAATAGAAAAATTACTNTATTTTTAACAGCACTGAAGAGGGGTTGGGAACATAAACCAACCCAAAATGCATTTGAATAAAAAATTGTTTTAAATAAACTGTAATGTTTTTCTAATCAATTGCTGTTTGGTCGTCTACCAAGAATCTTTTCACTGAATTACAAGGATGCTACGAACAGAATTTAAACATACAGCAACCATACCTTCTACATTATAAATTTGTGCATGTATATTTGAAGGGTATAGATACAAAAGTCATATTATTTAATTTTTTGGCGGTATTGACTTATTCATATCGCTGTGTTCGTCTTGTAAAGTCGATTAAAACTGTAATAATGTTGTTGATGAACACTTATATTTTTAAATTGTTTAAACGCAGAATAAATTATTGAAAATCGCGTTTTGAAGCATATGTCACACTATCTAACAGCTGTTTTGCAGCAAAATTTACACTTTTTAATTCAATGAATCAGAGAGGCCCTGGTGCACAAAGCATCATGGCTTGTCTGCTCGAGTTCTGTTGATGTCGTGTCTTCTGTAATAATGCTCACAATTTTCTAGATACTTTGTTTTTAATGTTTTATTAATCATTTTTATAAATATTTAATTAACCTCTTCTGGGCTCTTCTTTAGGCTTCTTCTTAATCAAAAACAGCCTGGCAGTTAAATTAACATTCGAATTTAAATCGAATGTAAGTATTTAAATAAGATCGAACTTTAGGATGAGTTCGAATGCAAGAACTTCTGTGTATGCATTCCCCTCTAAATATGATTGAAAATTAAATATCGTTGTCTAGTATAGTCTGCTATGCCATCGACAGACACGTCTCATCTCTAAAATTAATGCAGGTGGTTCCTCATCAAGCCTTAATAATTTCGATGGCTTCTAACCATTTGAGATGTTCCAGGTGCAAGGTGGTAAGGATAATTCTGTGTCCGGTAAGTCCTTCATAATATCCGGTGCGGTGGTACTCCTACTATATTGTATGTCAGATTTATGCTATCGTATCCTGACCCCATTGAACGTTTAGTGAAGCCAACGTACACTATTTCCCTATTACATCTGTTGTCTCTGATGGAGACGTTATATATGCCTGGTAGTCTGTCGGGGTTAGGATGGTCTTTTCCATTTCGCAGTATGTTGAAAATGGAGGAGCTTCTCCTGTAGGTAATACTGATCCGACGTCTCTTGGCAATTGTGTACAATGATTTCAAATGAGGATTAAAGTGAGGGGATCCTTTTCTTATTTTTTTCCTGTTTATTTCTCAGTATTTCCATCGAACTGGTGAATGCTTTTTATGTACGTCTGTGACGCTCACATAATCTTCGTATAAGGTTGTAACCATGTGTCCTGGCTATCCCTTCTATAAGTCTTAATTCCTGTGCTATCGCTTGTGGAGTGGAAAAATGCATGAACGTTCTTCTAAGCAAGGCCCCGAATGCTGCTATCTTGTATGGAAAAGTATCACATGATTCAAGCGGAATATAAGTGGAGATAGCACACGGTTTATGATAAACAGACGTGCCTATGTCTGACCCTTCAATTGCGATGTCTATGTCTAGGAGGTGGACCCTGGTGAGAATATGTTGTTCCATCTCAAGGAACCTCGAGGAATCTCGAGGAATTTGTCGACACAATGAACGAGGAATCTCAAGGAACAGCCCATACAAAGTATGGGCTGTTTCTTGAGATTCCTCGTTCATTGTGTCGACAAATTGCGTTAGATTCACTGTTGTCCTCCAGAAAGTAATGATGTCGTCTATGTACAGTACCTCTTGTACAGGAGCATGTTGTGAAGAAGTGGGGAAGGGTCCTGCTTTCCAATTGTCTGACAACAAATTCAGAGAGGTCTCCGGAAACTGGAATGCCCAGAAAAAGCCTGAAGAAGAACCTAGAAAGGGTTACAAACACGCTTGTCACTTAAGTGTTATTTGTATTCACACCAGTTAATTGGTTGATGTGAGTCGCGTGTTTTATTCAAAATTAATGTACAAAATTACAATGAAATTTTGTCACATCCGTTTATTCTCTAAAATTATTAATCTAAAATTTAATAATATTAATTCAAAATTTTATCGTTGGGAAAAACTTCGTCCACTTCTTCCTTCTTAGAGATTATTCTTTGTATGCACAGGATTATTCCTCATATCCACTTACAGTATTTGATAGTCATGAGTTAATGCTTAACGAATTTCTACTCTCTCAGAGTTTCTACTTTAATTATCTTTCTCTTTTATTTTCATAAACGACTAATCAGTGCCTGTTTTTGCTTTAACGTCCTCTCGTTCGTATTCATTCCGCGTGTCTAGGTTTTTTTTTGCTTTCTCTTCTCCATCTATCCCCTTATCTCCTACTAAATTAACTGTTTTTTTCTTTTATTCTGGAATAGTAAAAGACATATATTTCGCGTGCATGTTTCTACTTTCAACTTTGTATTTCATGTTTTAATTTTAAAGAGAGAATTTCAATTACATAAAATACGTAAATATTCATTTCTCTAATAATAAAGAAAAGTCTAATGATTTTAAAATTAATTTCAGTTGGAAAAAGAATTCGGATCTTGCCGCGATATCGAGTGGTGCTTTTCCAAAGACCAATTGTATCTTCTTCAGGTAAATTGAATTCAAAATACTTTATTATATTTTTTAAGTATTTTTTTATTAAATTTGAAATATACTTTACGACATAAAAATCAATGGAATATTCTGATATTTTTAATCACATCTTAAAAACATCGAGTAGACTAGTTGCGAAGAGGAAGTTTCTAGAAGGACATGAGATTTATTGACAAGGATATGCCAGAACATCTGTTGTCAAGTGATATGTTGCCAAAATGATAAAGAAAGGATAATATTCTCAAATCCAAATATTTCTTGAAATTTTGAACAATTCTCGCTTTGTCTGGTTTCTATGTAACAAGATAAGAATTGCTCTGACTTCCAAGGAAGTACAGAGGTACTTCCTAACCAATTCATTTATACAGCTCCATGCCGTCGTTACAGACGACATTAGCAATAATCTCCTCTCGCAACCTTCCAACTTATAGATATTTTTCTCCTGGATCAGTGTATCTCTGCTTTCTACCGTCTTTCCCCTCTTCTTTCTCTTTTTCATTTTCCGTTTGCAGCTCTTTAATTAACGTGAACTATCCAACCATTCAAAGGTGAGGAGGAATTATGGTGTTGTTCACGGGTTTTTTAGATTTTTGATAAATATATCTAAGGAAATTTTCGTTTTCATATTTACGTTTAGCTTAATTTAAATGATCTCTATTAAGAAATCAAATCACGATTAATGCATCATCTCTGACATTCATCACCTTATAAAGACACTATCCGAACAGAGTGAAGTGCGCTACGGTCAGGGTATTCTAAAATAATTTACCAACTTTTGAAGATCATTCCTCACAGGAAAATAAAGAAAAGCATAAAGAGTCCTGTAAATTTATAATCAAAGATGAGAAGTTTTCAGAGATCAAACATATTGTGATAGTGTTAGGTTTACGACAGATTTTATTACATAAATCTCTTATTAATGTTCGTGAATAATGTAACATACATCTAAAATGAGCTCTAGTTCACTTTAGTCAATATGCTCATGCTGTACTAAACCATATCTATCTGCAAATTTGGATAAGTAGAATTCTTTGGTTATGTGGCCTGCATAGTCTCTACTAATCTAAATCCTTTCAATTATTTTCTTGTAGAGCATCTAAAGATGCTACAGTACACCAATCTCATTTACAATGTAGACTTGCTGCTGCAACACATTGTCGACTATTGTACCACCATTTACTGGAGCCTGAAACTTTCAAAAGTGTGCACCAGTTCATCCTTGATGGATATTTTGAACATTTCTTATGAAGATACTATCTATGTAATTGAGAGAGTCAGTAACAGTATAAATCTTATTTTATTAAATAACAGATCTGTATCTTGCTGCGAGGAAACATTCCCCGAAGTTAGTCCCACAATTTCTGCATCACCAGGCATTAAGAATCAAGCAGGTTAATATGATTAGGTTAAAGTTTTGCAAAATTTTTTTAACTCTTAAAACTTAAGTGTTAAAACTATCATGGCATTTGAAGTTGCAGAAAACTCCTTTCTTCTTGCACAAACATCTTTTCTATATCAAAGTTTCCTTGAAAAAAAAACTTGCATTTGAGCAGTGCAATTCCTGATGGCAACCTGTTTTTCTGTTTGCTGTTTTGGAAATAAATGCTCGTGTCTGGTACCTGTTCTGGTGTCAGGAAATTCTCCTGACAAACTTATCTGATCCGTATCAGCAAAACTATAATAATTGTAACAGTGAAAACTGAAAATAAGTGAAAAGAAAACAATTATTCTTGCAGATAAACCCAGTTTTTCCGAAACTCTCCTGAATTCTAGTATTCACTAAGAAATACTAGAATTCACGAAACTAGTCCTAACTAGTCCAATCGTGTTTTAACTGTTATTGAGTTTTCCCGGTAACATGTTTTAATTATTTTACCCGATTAATTTTTAAATAATAACCATAAAATTTCTTGATTTCTTTATTAGTCTCGACCCATTACATCAATTACTACAGAAACTGATTATGAAATCGCTCACGAATTTGATGCCATATTTCGAGACGAAGAAGAATATTTATCTACAGGAAACGTTGGGTAATCTTTTAAATAAAATAATATATATGTCGAGTAATATTTTATTCTACTACATAAATCAACAAATATTAATACCTGTAATCTGTAATGTTTATTTAGACCAATTTAAGAATTAATAAGCTCATTATTATAAGTGGTTACAATATATGTAATTTGGGATAAATAAACGGTGTGGCAGAAACAAGCTCTAATTGAGAAATGGAGAAGAAGAGTTTTCCATCTACCCACTTCACTTACGTGCATTGTCGTAGTTTGTCATTGAAAGTGTCGTGTGAAACGGTACCTAATAATTCGAAAAATTACAAGTTCGTATACTAAACTCAAGGCAAAAAACAACTTTAAAATGACCCGAAACAAAACAGATTAGAATGTAAAAAATCACTAATGAGTTGGTCTGACAAATGAAAAAAAAAATGTTGTGTTTTCAGATGAAAAAAGTTTAGGTATTATTGGCATGATTTAAGAAAACACCCGAAGGAATATTTTAGCAGATAAATGGAAGGTTGTGAAATCTTGGATTTGTTAGCATTTGCTTTTAATGACAAAGCAGGTATCATAATTAATGATAGTAGAAAATATTAAAATATGTTATTTTTTAACAGATTTTATTTGTACTACTGATTGGAGGAAATGAATAGATATTCCAGCAAGACAATTCTCGTATCTTGCATTTAAATACACCAAAAACAAGTTTAAACGTGAAAAATGTAGATGTTATGGAGTGGCCATGGCATAGTCCAAACTTAAAATCCATAAAAAATGTGTGGAAAATGCTTTCTCGAATGTCTATGCTAACAACAAACAATACTCAAGCATTGATGAACTGACTGTTACAATTTATAATTGTTGAGATAAAATAAACTAGAGAAACTACTAGACATATCAAAAACATTACCTAATAGTATTAAGAAGCTAATTCAAATAAAGGAAAATACATTAACTATTAAAATTTTACGTAAAATAAGGAATTTACTGCTATATTTATAACTATTTTGCAGCAAGTTTGAATGCAATTTTTATATTAATTTATTCCTTAAATATTTGAATATTTGTATTTATGATTTGAGATTATTTGTGAGTAATTGTTAACATTAATAATCTCATTAAACATTAAATTGCTATACATAAACATTCTTTGATGTTTAACACATATTTCAAGTGTATGTGTAATTTCGTTACAGACCCTTATATCTTACTTCGTCAGCCTTCATAGTTCAATGGCATACTTTATTATAGGCAAAACATTTGTTTGCCTCTTTCAAGAATCTGTGTTCGAATTCGAATACACTTCGGATATTTATATATTTCCATAATATTTCTGGTCGGGATGTACGCCATTCTTCACTATGCACATGTCTTAATCAGAGTCTGCAGGTCATGGAAAAGGCACAGACAAAATATCTCTTAGTAACCACAAGACAAAAAGGATCCTTAAACACAGATGATGAAATGTCCTCTAATGCTTACAGCTTTTCTCCACATTCATGATAGATTAGGAATTTAAACAGATAAACACTTATTTATAATTCATATTAATATTATTTATTTTTGTGATGTTAAATTTTTAAGTCTGATCTTATGAATAGTTTTATTAATGCTTTTAAATATATAAACGTATCGTAATACAGGTAGAGTATGCTGCAAGAACCTACCAAGTGACAATCAATATATTAAATTAATTGGAATCTGTCTTTAAATAATATTGAAACCAGGAGACTCTTACTTTTGTAAAATGTACCTGGAATAAGTGCACAATATATTCTTTGTCTACGTGTTATTAGAATAGGTTAGTAGAATAAGGCAAGGCAATTCATGGGCAATCTTCCAAGGAAGTGCACTGTGGAAGATTTTCTATTTCTTCATTTTCTTCAGTTTGCGTTTTTTTATACGGAGATTTCAGCTTGTGTGGCTATTTTCGCCGATCCTGCCTCCCTTGTGGATACTGAAACGACCAGTTTGGCGGATGAAAGTTTCCAGTGTAACCACGTGCTTCCGGGAAGACAAGGAGGCGTACGGCCAGTAAATAAGAATGAAATCCTGTAACAACGTGGGGTCGATGTCGAGGGCCAAGCATAGGCTCGAGGACTTTCGACAAAAAATTAGACTTTATTTACATAAAAGACACGCAAATAAATCGAAAGAAACCCGCAAAATAACACGCAATTAGCATGACAGTTAAAAACAAACTCTTGATAACTATTAGTATTTAGTAATTTTATTTATACTGTCAATAATTAGCTGTTATATTATTAAATAAATAAAATCAGACCACGTTTCTATTTTCAAAACTGAAATATGCAGCAATAACAATGTGATGAAAAGTGCTATTTTTGCACTCATGCAATAATATCGTAAATGTAACCACAAAAATAATCTATAAAAACTGAAATAAATGATATAATTTATTTTAAAATCAATCGTTCTAACATAGAAAAAAATACAAAATATTTATATTTTTCGGTATATCGGGTTATAACGTGAGGTTTAGACATTTCGATTTTTTCTAGAAACGACTCCACAAGAATGTTCAACACCGTTCAATGTGGTATGGAATTAGAGTAACCAGAAGCAGGTTTCATCACCTATTTCATTGGAAATAGACCAATTATCAATATCTGACGATATGAAACTTTCGAAAGAACAGTTTAGTCTGCTGTTGTTCTATTATTTCAAAACTGGCCACAACGCAACAAAGACTCATCTACGAAACGTTTATGGGTAGACAAAGGTCATAAATTTTTTTCAAATGTCAATGGCCGATAGTGCAAAAGGAGGCGACGTGTTCGGCGACATTGTGATGGAGCTGCTTACAACCAATATCACCATACGATAGAGCTGTACTGTCAAAAACTCCATCGTTTGAACACTAAGATAAAAGAACTTCGTTCGAAGATTGACAAATTTCTATGATGCCACGACAACGCGCCACTACGTAGAGCAAATTTGATATTAGAGAACTGGCCAGTCGGACTGGGAGATTCTGCTTCATTCGGCTTACAGTCCAGACTTAGCTCCAACTGAGTCCCATCTATTTTGTGCTCAATATGCACGCCACAGTTTTATATTCTTACGATGACGGAATTGGACTCGAGGAATCCAGATCGATTTGTGCAAGAAAGTTTTTAGGCCGACAAGAACTCGAACCAGATCCTTGAGAGTGGCAACAGTTACTGTCCGTGTTATTTAGAGTATCTGGCCATGCAGTGATAAAATACTTCTAATATAAAAGAAGTGTCACTACACCACTTTCGAACTATCAAAATAGAAACTTGTGTGTCAACCAACTGTTTCTATATAAATTTTATTAATTGAAATAATTCAATTCGTGTAAAACCTTATTTAATAACATCGTTTTTGATTTATAAAAATATTTATATTTTTTTCCAGAGAAGTGCTTCCAGGGGCTATGAGTCCACTGTGTGTGTCTTTGTGTCAAAAAACATTTTCCCATAATTTTATGGTAAGTAGTAATTGATTCATAGTTGTAAATGTGAACAATAGGAGGGTCTCTTTAATCATATTATGACTTCGGTCAGACACAATGAGGCAATTGAATGATGAGTGACAAGGGTGACAGACAATCTTCGAAATTTATTCAACTTTCTCAATTGGTTGTGTAATCCAAGCGAGAAACTTGATATCAAAGAGAGGAAGGAGAACGACTTAACTGTCTCAACCGGGTAAACAGTTTTAAGAACTATAAAAAAAAACAAATACTTTACTACATAATTTTATATTGGTTGCCTATTAATAGATTCTTAGGCATTGCTTAACAAAAAATCTATAACATCAATAAAAATAAAAATTAATTTTTTATTAAATGGTTTGAAATAAAATTTTTCTTCTTTTAACTTTATTTATATTCTTTATACTTCATTTTATTTATTTAAAATTGAAATATAACTTTCAGAAATCAAAATGGAGGACAATCTTTGCAATGAACGGACCAAGTTGCCCCTATTTTCCAATGGGTATTCATTATTTTAATGGTCATGCGTTATTTAATGTCATTGACGTAAGTATAAAACATAATCTTATTTTAATAACATATACTTCAGGCCCAATATATTAAACTGAGGGTTTACATTTTATGCTAAAGTAAAATGGACTTAAATGAAGTACAGTTCTTACATTATATGCAACTATTTCTTTGCTTCGATCTCTTGAATTGGGAGGCAGTAATGATAATTGGTTAATTCAATAACAAAATATTCTTTAGTGTAGTCATTTATTTCTCTAATATTTGGTGTCTTCTCCTGTAATCTTAGTTACCTTGACACATTACTTGAATTATGATTTTTAGTAAATTCGTGGGGACGACTTACTGATCATCAATGGAGTTAATTAATTTAATATTGCCGGTAACAATACCTTTTCTAAAAATGTTCCCTCATATCAAAAGAGAATAATCATGTTTTATAGCGGATACAATGCTTTAAGTTTAAATTTTATCTGTTTTACGTTGTATCAAACGAGGCCTTTCATTAAACGCGTGAGAAAGTGGCTCATCAGTTAATAAAATCTTACAGTTTTTCAGATGTCTTCTACAAATAAGATTCGGTCAACACAATTTTTTTTCTCGTCACAAGCATGAAAAAACGCTTCTTCAAGACTACACTACAAATCCTATCAAGGAATGCAACATACTCCGTAGATCTTCCCACTCTATTTTGTCTCTCCTCAATAGGTTTACTTAATCTGTTTAAATAAGTAATCTTATCAAGGGCTTTCTCTGGCTTGAACAAAGGAACCAGGTAGCCATAGTTTGTATTTCTCACCATCAATGTTATATTTTTTTTTTTTCTAATTTTATCCATTGCAGACTGGGAGCTTCTCAAAATTTGTCCTTTTCTTATCAAATCTCTTTCCTGATTAAAACTTTTTTGAAGCATTTTTTTCATTAAGGTTTTCTTACACTTTGTTGGTATTATACGCCATTAAAAGAACTAATTACCAAGAAAAATAAGTGTGAAATTTGCATCTACCAATGTGTCCATAAGTTTACGAAAGACTGGTCGAGGGGGGTTTTCACAAGTCCTCTTTGTCACTACGACAAATGTATGAACCTCAAGCGTTTGAGACGTAGCAATTAGTATGAATTTTATTATAAAAACAAAGATAAATTTGTGTTTTCTTCTAATTAATCAGAACTTACGTATAGGCTATATAAGTTGCGATTGACTAAAAGAGATATAAAAAATAGATTGTGTACAAATTCGGACTTGCCTTATATTGACGTGTAGATATTTATAAAAATCTGAACACCTACACGCTAACTCCTAGACTAAAGCATAGATATTTCCATGGCTAAAATTGCTACTAAATATATTTTATTGATTTCTAAATAATTTAACATTTTCTCTCCATTTATGTTTAAGGGATGGCTAAATTATTCGGCTGATAAAGGTTCTACTTCTAATAAAGTGCTGATGCTTGCATCGATCGGAAGAATTATCGATGATGATGAACTATACGAAAGAGCCAAGGAAAGATTTTCACTTTATAAAAAGAAACCTTTATATAAACGAATGCGCCCTTTACTATTTTTCATTAAGGTAAATACTTTTTTCTTTATATTAAATACAAATTAATTAATAAATAATTAATTTTGACTAATTTTTAGAATTTTATAACTGCCGAAGGTGCTTTAGAAGAGAGAAGAAAAAAATATTTCAATTATAAAATTAAAGATTTGGAGAACTTCAAAACGTCTTTAGAGTTATATCAAGCTATACCTCGTCACTGGAAATGTATTTTTCCTGTAAGTTAGCAATTACTATACAAATTTTCGAGTTTATTGTATTAATAACATTAAAAATTCTTACTCCCTTCTATCCTATGAGTAACAAAAACATCTTATTCAGACCCATAAAGAATTTCTGGCTTTTCAAGATCCGTTCTGGTTCCTTCATTACCTGTCACTTTCATTATGCCATAATAGACCATAGATTACAATAGGGGCTCTCAAAGTAACATTCATGAAGGGAAGAAAAGCACTTAATTCAGATACTCTGTTATTTTAAGTGTGTTTATTATTAGATTCTAGTTTAGGTATATTTAATACGAAGACATTTCATAATGCAATGAGAACTGTACTTGTTTATATAATGTTTTTTAAACAATTGTTTTATACAAGTTTCATAATAAATATTATGTTTAATAAAATTATAATAATATAGATTACATACCTTATTTTATTTTTCAGAGTATGGACAGTAATACCGAAGTTTCATTATGTTCTGCCATGTACAATACAAATTTGATGTCGCTTCTTGTTAAGGAATACGGGGGTAAGAAATATATATATAGGTCTATAATTAAATACGTTGATATTTTTTAAATGATAGAAATTAAATATTTATTTATTTATTGTTTTATTGAAACATATACGAGTTGTTCAACAAGTGCTAATGAAGGAAACTCCGAAATTCATGACGGCTCAGCATAAATATCACATGATAATTTATGAAAATATTTTAATTCATAGTCTCTGATTTATTTTCTGTCTTAATGAAATTCCTGGAAACTGTTTCCAGTTAAGTTCGAATGTCGTGTGCCTTACAGGGAGTGTAGCAATGAAATAAATACTGCTTAACGTTAAATCCCATTCTAAAAGTGTAAAATCTGAAGGCGTGAGAAATGTTAAACGACGTAACGTATTTAATATTCTGTGATTCTTCCAAAAGTACAGTGTAATTCTGTGAAATTTGCAACATTGTTTCGATTAACTATACTTCATAAGGACTCCTACGAATGAAACTAATTTATCTTTTCTTGAATATCAGTTATTGTTGGTTGCTAGTGTGCGTACTGTACGATAATATTAGATACAAATAAATTTGTTTTGCCATCGCTTATTTTAAATAAATTTCATTACATTATACGGTTTAAATCCATCCTTTCAAGTGTATCTTTTATATAATACTACATATATTTCATATATAGTTATTTAACGGTCATCCAATAGAAAATTTATTGTTACAATATGTTATTTTTAGGGTGGAACAACGACGTCTACGCAGATTTCGCAAATTTGTTATCGAATTGTTCAAATGTCGAAAGCGCTGACGTTCCTCAATCGTTAGAGGTTCACATTTTACTAAAATTTTATGAATAACTTATATTATAATTTATTAAACTTACATTTATTTGTAGGCATTGGCTCGTACTATCTCCAACGAAATCCAACCGACAACATTTAAAGCTATGAAAACAGAAGTGAGAATTATATAAATTATTTTTTTCTTAATATAATAATTTCTCAAAGGTTAGAGGGTCCTTATGATCCCGGCTGGTTTGTCTGAAAAGCAGCTAAGATCTTCGTCGATATTTAAATAGGAACTGTCTTAAATGCACCACTCAAATACAGGAGAATATTTCTGTAGGGTTTCGCACACTGGACGAACAATAATTCCATCTTAACTACGAGGGCGGTTTTTACAACCAAAGACAAAATAAAACAAAGATGCTCTGCACTAAATCAGGACTATAAGCTGGGTGTTTTTAAAAAGTAAGTGGAAGTCTGAAAGGTCTAAGTCTTCACACATTAAAAGTGTGTGAAGACTTCCATTTCTTCCCTGAACTGGAAAAGTGACTAGGAAGGGAGAGATTCGAGATTAATGACGATCTTGAAAACAACGTTAAGGCCCATTTCAAATAACTGGCGAAAACATTCTGTGAAGAGGGGATGGAAAAGCTGGTCCGCAGATATGACAAATTCCTCAATCTTCACAGTGATTATGTCGAAAAGTAACCGTGGTCGAAAGTTGAAATGAATGCAGTTTTATTTTTAGCATTAGTTCAGTTGAATAATGAAAGTGAAAACTGTTTTTGCTCTGTTATTTCTCATTTGTTTTCATTAAATGTTAAAATATGCTAAAATTGTATTTTATCTTGATTCAATATTATAATAACCGATTTCATTCAATTTTACAGGATGCATTAAAATGGCTTCAGACATCCTCCTCGAAGTCGGCAGAAGATTTCAAAAATTTTCTCAACTCGCACGGACATAGATCTATAAAAGAGGTGTTTATTCATTAAAATATTCATTTCCATTTCAACATTATAGTTTATACTTTACATATATTATATATTTAACAATTATAGTTCGATCCATATTCAATCCCTTGNACATACCTCGTCACTGGAAATATATTTATCCTGTAAGTTAGCAATTACTATACAAATTTTCGAGTTTATTGTATTAATAACATTAAAAATTCTTACTCCCTTCTATCCTATGAGTAACAAAAACATCTTATTCAGACCCATAAAGAATTTCTGGCTTTTCAAGATCCGTTCTGGTTCCTTCATTACCTGTCACTTTCATTATGCCATAATAGACCATAGATTACAATAGGGGCTCTCAAAGTAACATTCATGAAGGGAAGAAAAGCACTTAATTCAGATACTCTGTTATTTTAAGTGTGTTTATTATTAGATTCTAGTTTAGGTATATTTAATACGAAGACATTTCATAATGCAATGAGAACTGTACTTGTTTATATAATGTTTTTTAAACAATTGTTTTATACAAGTTTCATAATAAATATTATGTTTAATAAAATTATAATAATATAGATTACATACCTTATTTTATTTTTCAGAGTATGGACAGTAATACCGAAGTTTCATTATGTTCTGCCATGTACAATACAAATTTGATGTCGCTTCTTGTTAAGGAATACGGGGGTAAGAAATATATATATAGGTCTATAATTAAATACGTTGATATTTTTTAAATGATAGAAATTAAATATTTATTTATTTATTGTTTTATTGAAACATATACGAGTTGTTCAACAAGTGCTAATGAAGGAAACTCCGAAATTCATGACGGCTCAGCATAAATATCACATGATAATTTATGAAAATATTTTAATTCATAGTCTCTGATTTATTTTCTGTCTTAATGAAATTCCTGGAAACTGTTTCCAGTTAAGTTCGAATGTCGTGTGCCTTACAGGGAGTGTAGCAATGAAATAAATACTGCTTAACGTTAAATCCCATTCTAAAAGTGTAAAATCTGAAGGCGTGAGAAATGTTAAACGACGTAACGTATTTAATATTCTGTGATTCTTCCAAAAGTACAGTGTAATTCTGTGAAATTTGCAACATTGTTTCGATTAACTATACTTCATAAGGACTCCTACGAATGAAACTAATTTATCTTTTCTTGAATATCAGTTATTGTTGGTTGCTAGTGTGCGTACTGTACGATAATATTAGATACAAATAAATTTGTTTTGCCATCGCTTATTTTAAATAAATTTCATTACATTATACGGTTTAAATCCATCCTTTCAAGTGTATCTTTTATATAATACTACATATATTTCATATATAGTTATTTAACGGTCATCCAATAGAAAATTTATTGTTACAATATGTTATTTTTAGGGTGGAACAACGACGTCTACGCAGATTTCGCAAATTTGTTATCGAATTGTTCAAATGTCGAAAGCGCTGACGTTCCTCAATCGTTAGAGGTTCACATTTTACTAAAATTTTATGAATAACTTATATTATAATTTATTAAACTTACATTTATTTGTAGGCATTGGCTCGTACTATCTCCAACGAAATCCAACCGACAACATTTAAAGCTATGAAAACAGAAGTGAGAATTATATAAATTATTTTTTTCTTAATATAATAATTTCTCAAAGGTTAGAGGGTCCTTATGATCCCGGCTGGTTTGTCTGAAAAGCAGCTAAGATCTTCGTCGATATTTAAATAGGAACTGTCTTAAATGCACCACTCAAATACAGGAGAATATTTCTGTAGGGTTTCGCACACTGGACGAACAATAATTCCATCTTAACTACGAGGGCGGTTTTTACAACCAAAGACAAAATAAAACAAAGATGCTCTGCACTAAATCAGGACTATAAGCTGGGTGTTTTTAAAAAGTAAGTGGAAGTCTGAAAGGTCTAAGTCTTCACACATTAAAAGTGTGTGAAGACTTCTATCTCTTCCCTGAACTGGAAAAGTGGCTACGAAGGCTGAGGTTCGAGTCTAATGACAATCTTGAAAACAACGTTAAGGCCCATCTCAAGTCACTTACGAAAACATTCTATGAAGAGGGGATGGAAAAGCTGGTCCACAGATATGACAAATTCCTCAATCTTCACAGTGATTATGTCGAAAAGTAACCGTGGTCGAAAGTTGAAATGAATGCAGTTTTATTTTTAGCATTAGTTCAGTTGAATAATGAAAGTGAAAACTGTTTTTGCTCTGTTATTTCTCATTTGTTTTCATTAAATGTTAAAATATGCTAAAATTGTATTTTATCTTGATTCAATATTATAATAACCGATTTCATTCAATTTTACAGGATGCATTAAAATGGCTTCAGACATCCTCCTCGAAGTCGGCAGAAGATTTCAAAAATTTTCTCAACTCGCACGGACATAGATCTATAAAAGAGGTGTTTATTCATTAAAATATTCATTTCCATTTCAACATTATAGTTTATACTTTACATATATTATATATTTAACAATTATAGTTCGATCCATATTCAATCCCTTGGAGAAAAAATCAATATAAATTAGTCCAAACTTTACAGGTAAGCAAACTCTCGTATTTTATACATTAACTTTAATAATTTAAAAATGTATAGTTTGTAAAATGCAGGAAATTTTCAATTTATATAAATTTCCATTTATATAAATTATCATTAGTATGAAATTTAATTTTTCTTGATGTATATTACGATAGGATCTTGTAAATAACATAAAGAATATTAAATCATCTGTTCATGGCAACGTCCTAGACAAATTGAAGAAATACCCAAGTTGGAAATCCAGGTAATTCAATGTCGTTTCGTTTACTTTGCGAATATATTAGTTATATTTATAAAGTATTTTCGAATAGGCTGTTGTTTAAATTTCTGTTGCCGAGATGTCAACAAGCAGTTAGACTAAGAGAGAGAGGAAAAGTAAGGGAATTACTTTACTGTCGAGTTAAGTTATAACCAAAGAAAACATTTTCTCTATTCTTTTCAGTCGTTTATGATAAAGATGTTCGACGCGCATCGTGAAGCTTATTGGCATTTGGCAGAACTAATGGTTCTAGAGGGCAGACTTCCGCACAGAGACCTTCTGTTTTTCTTGTCGTATGACGAAATTGGAGAACTGATAAGAACGCGATCGTCAAAATTAATTTCCAAGTGAGTATTAAAATACAATAAAACCGCCTTATACGAATCTCTTATCAGTGCTCAGTGTCTAAAACTACTGAACAGTGGTAGTTAGTTGCAATTGCTGATTTAGGGGTGAACATAGCGCATATGAATCTCCTTCTGAATGTTTCCGAGTAAAGACAGGTACCACAAGTAGTAAAAAATTTTCAGGTACATTCTTTCCTTTCGGTATACCATGTAAAGATTTCTGGATGTGATACGGTTAATATTAGAAAAGTTGTGGACTTACACATTTAATTAAAGAAAAGCTACCTTCGCGGTAATCAAAGTAAAACTTCGAACCACAATTGAAATGAATAAATATTAACATATTTAATCTACAGGGCAATCCGTCGAAAGAAGATTTATGCAGAGCAGGACAAAATCATTTATCCGGAAGTTATGCGTGGCATACCCCAACCAGTAAGTAGAAAAGCTTTCTCAGAATCGAAGTCGTTGACTGAATTAATTATTTAGTGAATAATTTGTAAAAAGTAATAACCAATTATTACACTTGTTAAACTTAAGTGAACCAGCGCCAGGCGCCAGTAAAAAGTATAAAAAATATACAAAGACATGAAAATGGAACGAAAAGTTAACAATAAACATGACATAACCTTACGTGTATGTATTTATCTGATAAAAAATCGATAATTATAACACTGGCTTGTGAGAGTGGTGAGGATTACAGAGTTTTCATAAATGTAGAAAAATCTTTACAGTAGCACACTTTTTAAATTCTTTCAGCAATATGAGCACTAAAAGAATCTTATTGTAAATCAATTCCACAGTGGCTAATGCCAGGTCCTCACGAGATGCATCCAGGTGGAGAAGGACGGGATTATACGTATTCGTGATATAAAAAACAAAAAATATATAAAGAGGTTGCTCGGGTTCAATTTCGAGCTCCATTGATCAAGTCCAGTGAATCGAATCTATGCGAGCAACTCTCAGGAAATTTTCATGGATAATTTGTAAAAGATATAACGGGACCGATTTCTCACAATGGCATGTAGTCCATGGAAGCTGTAGAAGCGCATCTTTCCCTTATTTTCATAAACAAGTTCTTATATTTTTCTTTTATATCAATTTATCTATTTTTAAAATAAAAATAAATGAATTGTTTATTTTTGTCATTTCCAGTATTTTTTAAAATAATTTTTATGGAAACACAGCTTCCTTACCATCAAATATTTCCGCACGCTACTGATCTCTCACCATAGGCCGTCCCCATTGGAGCTTGACCGAATACGTGATAGGGAAAAGAAACTTTCATATTCAAAAAGTGCAAAAAACCAAAATTAAAAATCAAAATTATTTAAAACTTTCTGTTATATTACAATTTTCACCTTTTAATTTCATAAAATTGATGCCAAATATATAAAATACCTTCAATAATTTTTAAACCAATTCTTATGCTAGTTTCATGTTTTACATTGTAGATTATTTATTTTTTTAAAGATTAATTTAGGTTCTTCGAACATCACGTATAAATCCGAGGCCATCATAAAAGGTGAGCACTTTTTATTATTTTAAACATTAAATAAATAACTCATTGTTATCGTTTTACTTTAGGAATTCCGGTTAGTTGCGGAATGGTCAAAGGTCCTGCCAGAGTAATCCTCAACGTGGAGGAGGCGGTTGATATTAGAGTAAGGAACGAGCTGGCGGATGCAGGCATTATTTCTCCACACTCTAACTCATTTTTGTGTAATTTTCAGTCGGGAGAAATTCTAATTACGTACAGCACGGACATCGGCTGGAGCCCTTATTTCCCTCTGTTAGCAGGAGTAGTGACAGAAATCGGAGGACTCATTTCACACGGTAAATATTGTCGTTCGCGTGTTGTGTAGGAAACTTTAAGACTTTAAGGCATGCTTTCATTTCGAATATTTCTTTGTTCAGGTGCTGTAGTGGCTCGAGAATATGGACTTCCCGGTGTTGTGGCTGCTCACGGAGCCATCAACCTCTTTAAGACGGGTTAGAAATTTTTTGTTATTTATTATCGAAAATATTACAGTTTGAATTATTATGAATATCCAATACAATTATGAATATGAATATGAAATATTTTAGGAGACATCGTCGTTTTAAACGGCGATGAAGGAACCATTTGCAAGGTGAAGGAATCCGATGTGGTTAATGGAGGAGAACATCTATAGAATCCTTCTTCTTTTGTTACTTTGTGTAGAAGGCCGTTATTTCCATTCAATAGAACAATGTCGCCTGACATTAGAAGAGTAAAATCGTATTTTTAAATGATTTAATTTTTGTTTTAAAATTCTTTATATCAAGGGGATGAATTTGAGAGGATTTTCGATTGCAAATTGGTTCCCACTTTGGTGTTTGTCACGTGAAGAAAACCGTGCGCACCAATAAATCGGTGGTTAAAACACTGAATTTACCAACAGAAATGATCAAACTAGACTTGGGGTCGATAAGTCATTTCGAGGATTAAAAATTGCTAGGGGGGTCTAAATTTTCACACTAAGTAAATAAGTAAATCTTTTCTATGAAACTGGATGTAGTATTAATACTAGTTTATCATATTTATTTATTATTAATAACTGTGTTAGCAAAAACTTAACAGTTAAAATATGTTTCTGGGCCGAATACTACATAGAAAATTAGTTCCGGGGTCAAGCCACAACATAGGAACACGGACAAAACAAGAAAAAGAATTATAATTTTCAAACTTTTATATTTATCGCATTAAACATGCAAGATATAAATACTTTGTATAAATTAATATATTACTTAGAAACACGTAACATTAACATATGTTTTAAAATATTTCTATTTTTTCTCATCTCATCCATAATTGTTTAGTTTTCTATTCTCACCTCTTCTGATATTTCTGGCGTTTCGGAATGATACAAAACTCTCAAAGTTTCGAAAAGGAAAATGCAAATATGTAAAATAATTCGGGAGAACGATAGCAATAGAAATATTTACAAATAAATGAGATAAGAACGTATAGAATTATCGTATATTTGAAATGATCAAACGTGTATATACGAGACAATCGACGATTTCGAGAAATTACAGGATACTTTTACTTAACAGTTTGTCGTATTCCTGATATATTTTTATAATAACTTGCAGTTGTGTATTTATTAAGCACTTTTCTAAATACTTCCCTGTTTAGAGGTTCGAGACGAAAATTACTTCTATACCTGACGATAATAATGGCAACGTGTATACAGTTATACTGTAGTTTCTTCACTTTTGTAAAAATTTAACTGTAAACTACTTTATGTAATTTTTTCATTAATTTGTTGCATTTTATTAATTTCAGATTTTTACAATATGCATAAGAGTAATTATTAGTTTTTTTTATTGTATTGTACTGAGCAATTATATTAATTTCTTATATTGCACTAACTTTTTATGTAATACTTTATTCCCCTTGTAACGAGCTGATATTTATACAATAAAGAATTGAAATGATTTTCTTGGTATAATTAAGGATTTCTCTGAAATCAAAGCAGGAGAATAAATTTTATGATATCCTTTTTAATTAATTTTTTTTAATTAATGAGAGCTGTTGTGATTTATCATGAAGTTCGGTAGAGGAGGCCGTCAAGTAAGCAAACTGCTTTGTTAAGCTGTTTGTTCGTTTATGTTTATTAGTTTCTTATGTTTATTAGCTAATTTCGCTAATTCCAATCCTGGTATATTTAATTCAACATAAAATACGAGTTACATATTTCCGGATTTTTGTCGTTCACGGTTTGCAATATATCTCATCTTATATTAAAAATTTTTAATTTCAGTTCATCCTTAAAAATTTCCGAATATTTATTTCTGACTCCAACGTGTATCTTTAGAGCTGTTTGGGTATATCAACATGGTAGATCGACGTTCTGTTCATTTAAAAATCATTTTTTTATTTTGTACAAACAAAATAAATATATTGAAAAATATAAAAACAATAAAAAATTATACTTCAGAAGTTAATTTAGTATCAAAAACGTAAAATATTTAGGTAGCTGAAGACGTAGCCAAAGATTACGGCGCCACAGCACTGGCGGAAATTTAAATTTGTCGACTGGAATTCCTTCGGATAACCGACCTTCGGATAAACGACGCTTTACTGTATTTACCAAATGCTGATATTTTAAACCGCTTTAATATTTGGGTGTAAATTTAAACAACAAAATTTAAAATTAAATAAAAGATATACTGAAATTTTTTATTTACATTGATTATGTCACTTCTACAGAAAGTAGAACACGAGACGATCTTTTCCCAGTTTACAGTCCGGGGGTAAAACCGCCAGGCATCGTAGTTGTAAACATAACAACTGTTACATCATCTACAATAGTGGATGAAATTCGTTAACTGTGAATTAAATTTTATTGAATTTGTTTCGCAGGTTCGAAAAAATCATGAATAATAATAAATAAATGCAGCGGATGCAGGCATTATTTCTCCACACTCTAACTCATTTTTGTGTAATTTTCAGTCGGGAGAAATTCTAATTACGTACAGCACGGACATCGGCTGAGAAAAATTACCGCGAAAAAAAATTCACATAAAACAGAATTATGTGACAATAAAGAAGTTTTTCTTTACTATATGTAACTATTTACAAATTTTTTTTCCTCAAGGAAAATGAGAAAAATTGCATGGGTAAATTTTTAAGAATTTTCCCACGCTTTTTCTTTACAACTACGTGGTAGCACCACGTCTGACTACTTTACTGTTGAATGGTTAATGTTAACATATGGCGATCATGTGACTTCTTTCCCACGACAAGAGAACAAACACTCAAGCCCCAGAAGCTCGGCGTGCGTCCACACGAAAGTTATTTTTGTACTTGTGCCAGTCGCTCTCCATGCAAAAGAACTGTGATCCTGACGGAGAAGACACCGGACAAAAGATACGAAGGACTACTACCTTTTCCATACAGACGATGCGCCAACTCTCCATTACTTTGAGCGGTATTTAGGGAATTTAGAAGTTGTAAAATCGCTCTCTTGCTCTAAAGTTAGGCAAGGATAATCACTTATGTTATGTAAATAGTAGTAGTATAATCACATTTAACCTTAGTTTTATTTTCGCCTCCTGTAATTTAGATTAGTTTTTCAATAAATGCTTTGTTTATTTGTTAAACCTGTCTCCTGTCTTTGAAAAAAACGCATGCTGGCTTACCAACGCACTCCCCACAAACTTTTTGCCCTCCTAGCCATCCGACGACACCGAGACCGCGTTTTACCAGCTTGTGCAGTGTAAGTGGTCAGGAGGGATTAACTCCTGACCCTCTGCATGTCTCACAATATTATGAATAGATTTCATATCTTCCTTATTAATACATGGCATTTTTAAAACAAACGGAAGGAAATCCAGAACTTATTTATGATTCTTGTCTATCACAGTACTTGTAAAATCATACATAATTAGTTTATTATTATTAATAACGTTATTCATAGCATCGCGTCTAAATTGCATTTGTTCTTTATAACTACGCAGTTTAGTCAATTCCAGTTCAATTTTTTCATATTCACCTCTTGTAGTTGTTTTTTAAAATCAATAATTTCTGTGTGAATATTATTAATCTCATCTTGAATATGCGTAAATTGATTATCTATTTTTTGGTTACTAATTTCAATAAGATTAACTATTCTTGACCATAACTCTGCAGTTGATATGTCCCATGTTTCAGGATTAACGTATTTTGTTAAATTAATAATATTAGAGTTCTCACCTGAAACAGTTTAAAAAACTGTTCTTCTTGTTTCTTGAACATATTCCTTCAGAAAACTTAATAAATCAGACATCCCAACTAAAATAAATGAAGAAAATATAAGGAGCCATCCATAAATTACGTAAAGTATTTTGAAGTGGGTGGCAGTCAAGGATTTCTTACGATTTCTGACACAGAGATAGGAGTGTAATAGATCTCATCTTACGTAATATTCTTATTTTTATTGTTGGATCTCACTGAATGATAAAGTTTTGAATTTGGCTTCAATTTGGTAGTTTCTATTAAGAACGCCATCTTGTATGGTGACATGATAAAATAATAAGGTTACTCACTTTTTATCGTGGAAGAAAGGCCGTGTGGTGGTTTCTCTCTCTCTCTCTCTTTTTTTTATTAGAATAAGTGAACCGCTCCTATGGGTGTATAACACTATGAATACGTAAACCAAAATACATGATACAAAGTAAACATAAAATTAGTATTCGGATTTTAGTGATAACTAAAATTTGTAAAACTGGAAATTATAAATTATAGATTTTTCTTTCATATATTTTAAACATAATTGTAAAAAGCATCAAACAGTGGCTTGAACAAGCATGTCCAGTGAACAAGGCCACATGAATGTAAGCATAAAGATTATAATTTCAGAATAAGTCTATCTTCATTTTAAATTAGACAATGATAGATCATATGGTCGACGTTGTCTAGGTTTTCTACAGAGCAAAAGCAAGTAACAGTTTCTGCCCGGTTATATATTGCCAGGTAGCTTTTAAAATTACCATGCTTATTAAATAGTTGAGCAGTAGCAAACGTTAAATCTTTAAGTGGTGACGAGAACCTGCATTTAACACTGGGAAAGTATACTGTTTTTATTCTACGAGTTTTACTGCTCAACCATCGTCTATTCCACTTTTGCATAGCATTGTCACGAATATAATTTTTAAGGCTGCAACGTGAGAAGGGATGTCACTGTAGTTTAAATCAGTGTCCTTTGCAGCTTACTTAGTCTAAAAGTCGGCTTTTTCATTTCCTAGTATGCTTGTATCGCCAGGAACAAATATTTAATATAAAACTTATCTTATTTACAATATTTTAGTATGGTGTTGGATATATGCGATTTTATTGCTATTGCAATTGGGACTTAATAGAGCTTTTAGGACAGACTGACAATCTCTGTAAGTGTCGGTAGACAGATCTCTGTTTGGTAGTTAAGTGGCCTGGTGAACAGCTTGGTAGTCAGCATCTTTTTTAGCTTGACAGATGGCGGTATGTGGGAGGTATCTGTACCTTCTAACATATTTTTGGCAAAATTTGTCATTGTAAAGGAAGATACGGATACTACAGCCGACAAGAAGGGAGCTTTTGAACCCATCTGTGTAGATATTAATGTTTGCATGATTATCCATGGCGGAAGCAGATGACACGAAATAACCTTGTTTACAGGATGGTGATCAAAGATAGTAGGGTAATTACAATGTGGTAGCATATGAACAGTCGAAGATAAAGTAGAGACAGTTATTAAGCCTTGACGATTGTAGTTCTGATGTAGTAGTTTATAATTTTTTCTACAATACATAGTGGCAAAGGAAGGAGCTATGCTAGTATCAGAGAGGTAATAGTAGAAACAGTTCTGCTGCTTTGAACTTTGAAAATCTGATGTCAAACTGGCTTTGAAGAGAAAGTAATTTACTTGCTACTGAATTTTTACTAGTAACATGACTCCTGCTAGAAACCGCATAAAATTGTATTGCCCCATTGTAAAGAGATATACAAGTTTTATGATTTAGTCCCCAGATGCACCTAGCACGTTTTAGTAGCATGTAGTTTATATTGTTGGCCTTAGGCAAGATGTAATCAATATGGCGCCCACCAGTGGCCGAGTGGTCTCCGTTGCCGCTCATAGCGGTGGTGACTGGACCCTAAACACTGGGAAGTTCGGTCGTGGGTTCGTGCCGCGATCGGACAGGCTGGCTGCTTGGAGTTTTCCGGGTTTTCTCCTTGCCAATAACGACTAAATAGGAGGCCAGTTCCCCATAAAAGTCCTCCCGGAAGGCATTCTTTCCCCGCGCGCGCGTGACACATCATTCAAGGAAGAAGGCAATGGCAAACCACTTCCTCAACTCTTGCCAAGAAAACTACATGGACAAGGAAAGACTTGTCTATGCAGTCACCAGGAGTCGACGACGACTTGACGGAACTTAACAACAACAATCAATATGGCACCAGAATATGATTTCTCTCTATTTTCTTGTTTTATTTTGTAGGACGTTTCTGTTTACACAGGCACTAACTACTCGAGCTGTCAAAATTTTTTGTGTCCTCTGTGAAAATCAAAATTTATATAAAAATGAATATTATGACGTCGATTAATGATTATTAACGAACTTATTATTATTATTATTATTAAAAAATACAGTTCTTACAATAAATTGTTCATTCGAATTCATTAAATCTTTTTATTTCTAAATTTGTTCACATAAAGTTTTTTATAAACAATAATACATATTAATTAACTAATCAATAATTATATATTTTGGACCTACGGTTTTAGGGTTTCATAAAAAATTTGTTGTCAAAATCTTTCTATAAAAACATGCTTAAATATTACGTAAGATAAAGAAGAGCAGGGGGATCAAAGTAAATATTATGGTTTCTAATACAGGGGTGGGTAGGGGTCTAAAATGACCGAAATCGCCCTTACGTAATTTATGAATGGTCCCTAAATGAAGAAAAAATTAACCAACAGTCTTGGCGATTGGAGCGCCCTCCGTGATTCTAATTTTTATATAAGCAGAATTTTTATTATTACGAATCAGATTTGATTTATATTCATGATTAATTGTTATCCTGTTTGTTGTTGTCTGTGTTAATGATAGCCCAAGGTTGAACTTCTGCAGTAGCTCCAAATATAAATATTACACCACCCAAAAAATAAGCGAAAGATGCCATGTAGAATACGTAGTTCCAGTAAACCATGTCTCCTGCCTTATATGTAAAGATAAATAAACAAATTTAGCAAATTTATAAAGTTATGCACATAAATATAAATTTTAATTAAGAACTTTTTACTTACATTTTCATCTAGTATAATTCCAGCAACGTAAGAGGAAAATATACCTGCGGCGTTACATAAACCATATGTCAATCCAAAAAGGACTCCTAAAACATAATTTAAATTAAAGAATGTTCTTAACTATCGAATAAAATAGTCTAATTCGATATTTTAAATATAATTTTACGATTTAAAGGAATAGAATAGAAATTATGCTCAAAAAGAAAATTATTACGAATAAGAGATTGTAATAGAATTAAAGAAATTTAATAAATCAAAATGTAATCAAAGTATTGTTTAACTTTTGTCTGTTTGTCATCCTGTAATCTCAAGAAAATTTTTAAATATAAAAGATTCAAGGCAATAAATAGAGCATTTTATGAGCACAAAACTTGGATTAAGTTTTGTGCTCATAAAATACAGAAATGTCCGAAAGAAATCGGATGTGACGTTATTTTAATTCAAACATTTTTCCCTGCAAAAAAATAGATGACACAATACTGTTGATACTAGGAAAAGTATGATATATAGGGGCAAGCCACTACTAAAGACTAAAGACTAAAGAGAGAAAGACATGGCCAAGCAGTGAGCATAGCCTGTGAAAGGGGAGGAAAGAGAGAGGAAGGAGTGGTGAGTGAAGGTGGAGAGGTGGGGGAAGGAGAGGGGGTGAAGGATGAAGTGGGATCCATGAGCGCCTACACGGGTCCGTTGATTTAACATGAAACACATACAGAGAGCAAAAAACGGTGACTACAAAATGATCCAATAATGGTACAGAGATTGAAAGTGGCAATATGCACGCAGAGACAGACAGTGCCTATTTACAGTGGAAGCGGCACAAAACATATTATAGGGTTAACACACGGAAATTGGCGGGTAGTTGCCAGTACCCCCTAGAAAGTAATTACAGCACAGAGGCAAGCCACTACTAATTATCACTGAAAAATATTAAAAATTAAAATTTTCAGCCGTCATTGTGACCATGTCGAGTAAATAATTCCTCTTTATAGATATCGTGTTACCTCCTTTTACATAAATTTTTACGATCGTAATAAATTATTAATCACTTTAATATATGTCGTTAATTACTTATAGAAGTGTGACTGTATATAATTAATTATACTTATTCTAGTAATGTTGTAATTACGATATTTTTAATATTATTTTATGGCAGCTTATGGGAGGTAACTTAATTCATATTGCAATTAATCACTCTATGACTTGTTGCAATATCTATCAAGTTGCATAATGAGTCGCTTAAATTCAAATCTATTGCTGTATATAATTTTAAAGTGAAAGATCGACATTGTTTAAATATATTTTATTGGTTTAAGGCCATATAAATTTTAAAAAATACAAATCGCTATTCTCGATTCCCAGAAATTAATGTGGTTCAGTCGTAATATCGCGAATAAATGGTGCAATACCTATGATCGGGGATAAATCGAATTTGGCTTCGATTGTGATTTTACTCGTGCTACAGGTAGGAGTCCCGATATGCTTAGTAACGAGCGACCATCCAGTAGGGAAGCTGATTGAGGGAGAATTACCAATCAGAACGGAAAAAAGAAAGAAGGGATATTAATCTCTCTTTTTTTGTCCGTTCTGATTGGTAATTCTTTCTCAATCACGCTTTTCGAGTGGCTGGTCCCTTGTTACTTAGCGTATCGGGACACTTACCTAGATCACGAGTAAGGTCACAATCAAAGCCAAATTCGATCTATCCTTGATTATAGGGCTAAACTAGTATATCCTACGCATATACTAGTTTAGCCTAAATACTTTAGGCTTAACTACTTTGACCTAGGCCGAACTGATTTATGTACTACAAATAGATGCCAGTGTAAAAAAACTGATTTTTTGTAATTCGAATGCCACCACAGTACACCCGGTGGTTAAAGTGTACCTAGGTAACTGCAATGGCGGTGCTTCGGTTAGGTTGCTTCGGTTAGGTTGCTTTGGTTAGGTTAACTACATTTTTAGTAGACGTCTCCTTTTTTTCTTTTGTTCAAGAACTACCGTGAATCAATAACTAGTGACGTTAAACAATGGGCGCTTTGGGAGGAGTCCGCTGGGAGCATGAACAGTCCGAAGTGCCACCATTGGGGTTACCTAGGTACACTTTAACCCACCCTCTAAAAATAAATAAAAGATTAGATATTTTGTATGTTACACTAAGAAACACAAACGTGTTTATTTTTAATTTTAGTTTGACTTTAAAAGTTATTGTTATTATTTCGTTAGAATTTTTGAAAATATTATCGAAAGTTAATTACCATTAACCCGGCGTGAATGAGGTGAGAAATTGTTACACCAGCTATGAGGTGGGTAGGAGATACCCGAAACTTTGATGCCAAATTTTTTATACTATAATTGTGTATAAAGTATTTTTTCACTTGGGATAATAAGATTAGTATCTATTCAACAAGATGAGTAAATAAAATATTATGTTTAAGATTGAAAAGCATTTTTTNTTATACTATAATTGTGTATAAAGTATTTTTTCACTTGGGATAATAAGATTAGTATCTATTCAACAAGATGAGTAAATAAAATATTATGTTTAAGATTAAAAAGCACTTTTTTTAATTGAAATAACAAAGTGTCTATATTTTCTTTGAAAAAGTACAAGTTTTGGTAGTTTAACTTTTTTCGTATAAAATTCTAACAAAATTACAACTTTTTTAGTTAATCAACATAACTATAGTATCTTTCAATTATAAAAATAGAAAAAAAACTAAAAGGTCTTATGACATCAATTTGAACAGCACCAACATTACACCTACAAATCAGCACAATCTCCACACAAAAATCGCATGCTTCATACATTTTGCCTTCTCACACTTCGAACAGCAATGCTTTGTTTTCCTATCTGTTTTTTTTGTACACTCACCACACCTGACATATTTATTAGCCATTTGTTTGGAAACAGGTAATGAAAGTTCTCCCAGTTGATCAGTAATCACTTTTCGAGTTTCCCTTGGAAGATGTGTTTTTTGTCTAATGCGAAGACTATCATTTGAGAAATCTAGAAATAAATCTAAAAATACTATAAATAACTAACTCATAAACTTACTGTCAACTCAAAAATGTAACACAGACTATGAGGTCAGGTGTGACGTACCCCAGTCTCCTTTGCTCATGTGTATCTCCCGATGACGCAGGCGCAACACTAAACTCAACACTACACCTCGTCTCCTACTCCCTTATCTCCAGCTACTGTGACGACAAGATTTCCATGACAAAAATAACATTAAATAATCTGCGTTTAAAATCTTCTCGGGTATGACATAACCCGTCTCACTCACGCCGGGTTAGTGTAGGGAATATTTCGATATTCTTTAAAATCTCATTTAAATACCTAAGAAAATATTATTTGATTTAACAGCAATTTGTCTTAAGTAAAATTGTGTCGCCTTTCATTACGCACTTAGCCTCACCAACAGTATTTATTTTGTGCTAAATTAAGTATAGGCCTACATTGTCATTTAAATAACTCTATTCTTAGTGTTAATAGCGTATAATTGAAGTTTTGTTTGAAATCACACTCAGTTTTTGTTTCAACGGACATTTATACTAATTTACATTATTTAATAACATACTTCGCTCTTTCTGCTCTGTACATTCTATGTGAGCGTTTTTTCCCGGTCTATAGTGAATTCGGTTAGAACCACAATATATATTTCCCATATCATGTACATCTGGACCACAATGCTATGTTGCTGGGACAGACCACCTCCAAAAATATTTGGGGTTGCTCTTTGAGATTGAATCCTGGATTTCTAAGAGCAGTAAACAGAATTCTTAATATTCTCAGCCATTCGGCTGGCTTTATTGTGTAATCTATGATCAATTGCACTGTACTATATATACTATACTAATTATAGAGGAGAAGGTGGTATTATGGAACACTGCGGGTATTATGGAACCACCCCATTTCAAACTGATAATAAAGGCGAACTGTAGCGGAATGTGGATGAACTGAACTAGGCAGACATCCATAGCAAGGAGAAAACCCGTTTTACTTCAGTTAAACGGTTGTCCGTATTTAATCAGCAAATTTGTTTTTTTCAAAATTCACAAGTTTTGAATGCTAAGTGAATTTAATTATTTTTAAAATATAAATCGTGTAGTTGTAGGTTCACTGGTGCATGTATTCCGTTCCAGAGACTTAGGGATTCATATTAATCTGTATGATGATCACGTTTTTTAAATTTTGGTCTCGACAGACATAAGTTAATTCGAGATGGCGATGCGTAAAATACGGACCCCATTGGTGCTTTTACAGTAATATGGAACTCAACTCCTCCGAACTCTCTCTTTGCAATCAGACATTCTTCCGGAGCAATTTGGGAAAAAGACACTAGGTAGAAAGTCTGAAAATATCGAAACAGAGCCGCTGGAATATATATTGTTGATGGAGGTCATATTTTTCTATTATAAAAGCATTTTTGCGATAAAATACATTGGAGTAAATAATTTTGTAATCGTTTAACATTTTTTGTCCTTTCCTATTTGTTTTTGGCTACATTAAAGCATTTTTTTTGAAAATATACAGTAAGGTTCCATATTACCACCCGATTTTCTCTAAGCCTACTTTCGGACTTTTTGTACAAAAGCCTTCAAAAACCATACTTATAATTACACCAGCGAAAAATCCAATTAGGAACATTTAGTTTACTAGTTACAGGTACTTTTCGCACAAAAAATGTGGGTGTAGTTATGATACCTTGTTTACAATTCACTAAAATATAATTGGGGTTCCATAATACCATCTTCTCCTCTACTATATTGTTTTTATTCTTAAGTTAAGCAAAATAAGTAAGATTTTTTAAATGTCGCCTATTCCTAGGATCGATTTTCTGGCTTTGCGGGTTCTGACACATAATTTGCTCACTTTGACTTTTAGTCACAATTATTTTCGAATAATGTTCGAGAAAATTTCACTGAATACCGTATTATGTGATAAAATTAAAAAAAATAATGACTTCAAATTCTGGTGCTAAATCAAGCACTATTGCAACATCTCCCGAATTATTAAAGCCGAAAAGACCTATTCCAACCATTAAACAAATAATTATTTTTGTACTTTCGCAGCGAAGAAATGAAATCGCTAAGATGCATGCTGCCGGACCAAACAAAGCTACAATATAAATATTTAATTATATAATGCCAGAGATTTTAAAACATAATTTAAAAATTGCGATATTGCGGTTCCTTACCAATTCCTTCGGAAAATTTTCTAATATTACTTATACTTAAATAGTCACGAGATTTCATGAAATCAGCAATAAAACCAGAAGTAAACATAATTATAGCATCCACAGAATACACTAATGCACTCATTATTCCATTCTAAAACACAAATAATATACATAAATTTGGTGATATAAGACTTATGTATAGAAATCGTCATACCTTTTCGATAGGGAAGTGCTGAATGATATGTAAGTATGATGGAAATTTAGTCAATATTGCAAAATAACCGAAACCCCAACTAATTTTCGTCAAAGCTACTATCCATACTGCTCTAGATGTTAAAATTTGTTTCCAGGGTATATTCAACTTCTGTATTAAGTAAACATGTATTTATGAGAGCTTAGGCAATAAAGTAGAGTAACAAATGATATTACCTTTTCTCTTGAAGAGATGTTTGGTATGCTTTCGTTAAGAAATGTCAACTCTTTGTCGGATATTCTGGGATGTTGTTGAGGTCTATCATAAATTGTGAACGTAAGACATAAAGAAAGGACAATCCCACATATGCCTGTTGTAAATATATAGATTAGAAATTATACTGTCGCATTTTAGCATTGAAGAAACAATCGTATTATTTATGTTTACCGAAACAGTAGAAGCTGGAAGACCATCCTTTACGTTCACAAAGATATCCTGTTGTCATTAAACCAACAAGTGTACCGACTTGACTACCACAAAAAGAAATTGAGGATAATATGGACTTTTCGTTCTTTGGACTCCATCTTCCTAATAGTGTAAAATATCCGTGAAATACAAGTCCCTGTGATAAAATAATTTTTGAATAGGATGCTATGAATGAGATTTGCAATGACAATAGTAAATTTTATTCTTACTTGTGCTAATCCGACAATGGCTTGACATAACGATATAACTGACACACCGACATTGCACAAAACGGTGTCAAAATAGTCAGTGTTGAAGATAAACAGGAAAAAATTATGACAGTTTTCTTTGGTCCAAGTGATAATGTAATGGATCCTCCTGCAAGTTGAGCTAACACCAAACCATAGAAATAACTTCCTAGTATTATTCCTTGAGTGGGTTGTGTCCATACGTAAGATCCCTAAAAGTAAATGAAATCAGTGGTTTATATTTAATATAATTGAAGCTTTACAAAATAAATTATGCAGATTTATCCACTTATAGCTAAGGTATATCTTTCATTTTGTCTTTGTTTATTCGAACCTTTTAAACCTTTTTTTATAATAATATCAAAATTATTTAAATTGCTAACTGAGATTTAAAAAAAAATGTGTAATTTCGGTGTCTGACTTCATTAATATTTTGTTCAGCTTTAAATCTGGTAAATGTTGAACCTTTAAATCGGTGCTTTCGTAAGCCTTGAGAAAAACAAAATGAATTGAAATATAAATTGAAAATGATTATGTGAAACACGAAAACAATTACATTTCCCTTTTATTCATTAATTTATTTAAAGACAATTATTCCGCGATTTACAAAGACATTTTGTATAAAACCTTCGATATTAATCTCTGATATTTGTTAGTAATTTATGCATATATTATACATGTAAACATATACCTCTTTGTAAATATATATGGAATTTTGTTGATAGATTTTTGGACATTCTGTTGAAGACGTGGTATTATGCATGTGGATGGCTGAATGATTAACCATGGCTAAAATAGCGATACTCAGCGCAGATCTTTGGCAGTACGCTATTACATGTATAAAAAATATAGACAATACCAAAACATAACGAGCTGGAACAGAAACTGAAGTAAAAACGTTCGTAAGATTTCAACAACTTAAGTTAAAATTTCAATAAATGTAAAGAATATAAAGATAAAATTTCATAATTAATTCAAAGCTTGAAAGAATAAATACAGCATCTACACAGAATGTTATTGTTTACGTTATATTTCTATTAACGAACCATTTCTCAAATTCAAATATAATATTAAATTTAATAAAATGTAACTTTAAACGTTCTCACTGTCAAGATGGCTTAAATGTTTTTTTTTTTCTCTATCCCGCGGTAACGGGATTTAATTGTTCGTATCGAGTGGAGGAGGGAGGAGTGCCGTCGGTAAGGTGACAGGCGATATACGATTAAACTGAGGACACCAATTTAACAAGGAAACAACGATTTGTTAGCTACATAGATATTACAATAACTAATTTCAAAGGAAAAAATTTAAGTCCCTGAAACGCGAAGGGCCGAGAGAGAATTCACAAAAATTTATTCCATACCTCTTGATGTTCTTTAATTATCCTTGAGGAAAAGGATTGATATCCAGATGGGTCAGAACTGGCAGTATAAGGACAATGAATTCTCAGGACACAATATATAAAAATAGAATACAGTATTCAATAGAATATATCATTTAATAGGATATGATATTCTTAGGAAATTATGGTTGGCGGCTGATGAACGACTCTCCCGAGAGGGGGAAGCAAGTGGCTTTTATAGTTTCGTCGTGGGAGAATGGTCATGTGACCAATTGTTGTGGGGTAAAAGGTACGCGGATGGGTCAAAGTTGTCCCCGGGCCCATGCTAACTATTAACTTTGGAGTTGGAATGTGGGATTAGTTTTGAAATGGACGGATGTTTACCCTGAACGAAAGGGGAGATTGGAATTTTCCTTTTTTTTAAGATAGGTTTTAGTTTAGGATTTAAACGGAAAATTTAATTGGGGGTTTAGAAAAATGCGGAATATTAATAGGTAAAAATTCCGGATTTCACATAACAGATGGCGTTATCAAATGTTGCCTGTAAAGATATAGGACTCGCTGCTGGAGTTTTACCAAATCAGTGAAACTGATGGATTACTAAATGTATTTAGTCCTAAAACTTTCATAAAAAAAAAAATAACATTATCTGTCATCTTTTAATAATGACCACGTTTGGAGGCAGGCAGAGAAATAAGGCATGACATCTGATATGTTACTCCTCTAGCTGCGAAAAAACACCAAATTTTAACGAAAAGGAGATGTATATGAAAAATAGTTATTTCAAATTGTTTTTTATTTCAATAATTAATAGATGTTTTCGGAGTTACGCATATTTATGAATTAATTTTAGAACATTCTTACCTTTATGTATCATATTTATATATTGTAAGACAAATAGATTCTCTATTTGAAATGGTTAAAAATATGTTTGAATTTTTATTTGTTTATCCTATGATACTTGTTTACTTTAAAAAATAAATTCCAGTTAGAATTTTCTTATTCTTCTTCCTCTTTTCTTTTAATATGATTTAAAGTAATGTTGAAATCTTTTTATTCTTATAACGATGGATTTATATTCTTCTGTTGACGACTAATAATGCTTTGAAATATAAATTTTTCACGAATGATTTTCAACATATCAACACAAATGGAAAAAGTAAAGCAACAGGTATCCTGCAATATAAGAAAAAATGTATTTAACACGTTTTCTATCATATTTTACTTATATTTTTAGTAAAAATTTATTTGTACATAACTCAAAGAAATATCAGTTAACAAGCAGGTAGGCCCGGCGTTGCTCGGGCAAAAGTAACGATAGGGAAGATTAACATTATTACGTTATAGTCAACCTTACCCGTTATCACAGAATGCAAGAATTGGGTCCCTTGTTTCCAGACTAATTAGAAAATTTTTAGATGGGTCTAAAAATATGTTCAATTTCCAGCAAAAACGAAAAATTTGCATCTGCATCCTGCATGTCGCTTTCTCTTAACAAATCCATTGTTACGTAACACTTCCATTACTGACACTTTCATTGTTACTTAGAACTTCCATTGTTACTTAACACTTCCATTATTGACACTTTCATTGTTACTTAAAACTTCCATTGTTACTTAACACTTCCATTATTGACACTTTCATTGTTACTTAACACTTCCATTATTGACACTTCCATTGTTACTTAACACTTTCATTGTTGATGGAAGTGTTAAGCCTTAATCCTGTCCCTCTCCCCCGTGGATAGGAATTTCGAAAAATTTCTTTTTAGAGTGCGTTCTCGTAACGTACCCTAACTGTGTACCAAATTTAAACTTTCAACTCTTAACCGTTTGGGCTCTGCGCTTATAATTATTATTAACAACCCGTCTCGATTATATATAGGGGAGATCGGGGCAACTTCGGCAAGCGGGACAAGTTTGTCAAGCGCTTTTTTTAAAAAACAAATTAAAAGGAGACTTTGGTTATAGGTTAGGCAGTTGAGTTTTATTAGTGGCTTGTTGAGTGTAGTGTTTTTATTGTTCTCCAACAAGCGTAGTTGNCTTACCTTTATGTATCATATTTATATATTGTAAGACAAATAGATTCTCTATTTGAAATGGTTAAAAATATGTTTGAATTTTTATTTGTTTATCCTATGATACTTGTTTACTTTAAAAAATAAATTCCAGTTAGAATTTTCTTATTCTTCTTCCTCTTTTCTTTTAATATGATTTAAAGTAATGTTGAAATCTTTTTATTCTTATAACGATGGATTTATATTCTTCTGTTGACGACTAATAATGCTTTGAAATATAAATTTTTCACGAATGATTTTCAACATATCAACACAAATGGAAAAAGTAAAGCAACAGGTATCCTGCAATATAAGAAAAAATGTATTTAACACGTTTTCTATCATATTTTACTTATATTTTTAGTAAAAATTTATTTGTACATAACTCAAAGAAATATCAGTTAACAAGCAGGTAGGCCCGGCGTTGCTCGGGCAAAAGTAACGATAGGGAAGATTAACATTATTACGTTATAGTCAACCTTACCCGTTATCACAGAATGCAAGAATTGGGTCCCTTGTTTCCAGACTAATTAGAAAATTTTTAGATGGGTCTAAAAATATGTTCAATTTCCAGCAAAAACGAAAAATTTGCATCTGCATCCTGCATGTCGCTTTCTCTTAACAAATCCAATGTTACGTAACACTTCCATTACTGACACTTTCATTGTTACTTAAAACTTCCATTGTTACTTAACACTTCCATTATTGACACTTTCATTGTTACTTAAAACTTCCATTGTTACTTAACACTTCCATTATTGACACTTTCATTGTTACTTAACACTTCCATTATTGACACTTCCATTGTTACTTAACACTTTCATTGTTGATGGAAGTGTTAAGCCTTAATCCTGTCCCTCTCCCCCGTGGATAGGAATTTCGAAAAATTTCTTTTTAGAGTGCGTTCTCGTAACGTACCCTAACTGTGTACCAAATTTAAACTTTCAACTCTTAACCGTTTGGGCTCTGCGCTTATAATTATTATTAACAACCCGTCTCGATTATATATAGGGGAGATCGGGGCAACTTCGGCAAGCGGGACAAGTTTGTCAAGCGCTTTTTTTAAAAAACAAATTAAAAGGAGACTTTGGTTATAGGTTAGGCAGTTGAGTTTTATTGGTGGCTTGTTGAGTGTAGTGTTTTTATTGTTCTCCAACAAGCGTAGTTGAATTATCAAGCAAATTTTCATTTTCGTTCAATTCCATATAATATTTTTTTTCCATTTATATTGAATTGGCAGGTTTTGTTATAATTCCATGATAACGAAAGTTA